TATTCTCACATGCTGGAATGTTGAAACTCTACTTTTGTCGTCCATTTCCACGTTTGATTGTGATTGAGCCATCATATAGAAGTGTTTTCGCTCTTCAGTCAATAAGCTTTTGCACAAATCTTGAATTTTTACACATCATCTTGAACCATGCTCCAGTCTTTCCAACAAGGTACCATGGAACATCAAAGCAATTTTGATTTGTTACAACAGCTTCAGATCATAATAGGCTTGAAGTTTGTTACACCATTTGCCAGACAAAGCTCTACAAAATGTGTATCAATTCCCAAACTAAGCTATTGATTATATCAGTATTTGCAGTTTCCACACAATGCTTCATAATATTATTCGATTTTTATATCAAGAAACCCAAATAATCCACAAATTGTTATTGAAACACTCCCACACTTCAAGAGTTCACAGCAATAACAATACAAGTTCAGAAGCAAATAAACATTGCGCCAGATTTCGTATGAAACGCGCCATCATCCAGAAGTTTCTACCACAGACGGTAGCTCAACCGCAGCCGTAGTGCGAAAACCCCTGCCCACCTTACCCCACGGCGGAGCTCGGTTGCAATTTGTAAATACGCCACGTGCGCACGTGCAAATTGGGTCCCAACAGACTTATGCACGGCACCCTACTAATTGGTCCCTAACCGTGTACCAAATTTGAGCGCCATCGGTCCAGCCGTTCTCGAGATCTGGAAACGACCCCTGCACGTGCGCACGTGCAGCAGCACCCCAACTCTGGCACATGGATATGCAGTGCCTAGTGGTTGCCTACCTACATGCCAACTTTCAGCGCAATCGGCCAAGTAGTTACCGAGATATTGCAACAATTACAAAACTGACACCTCTTCGTTTTGCACGTAGCACGTGCATAAGGGGTCACCCACATGCATCGGGAATAGTCCAATACTTGGTAGAAGGAATGAAGCTACCCTACAAATATTACCGCGTGTAAATCGGTCAAGTGGTTGCTGAGATATAAGCCTCGCAAAAGCGTCCGCACGGCCGGCCGGCGGCCGCCGCTCATACTCAGAAATTTCCGTTAATCTAAGGAAAGACTACGCTCGCTTCGCTCGCTCCGTAACAAACTAAGGGCATCATTGTGATCCTCTCGTCAATCCGCATCGAATGATATGTATGTTGACCTCGAAAGGTCAAGGTCAAAGGTTGATCTCAGGTCACGTGACCTCGAGGTCATCATGTATATCATTCGATGCGCCTTGACGAGCTGAACACAATGAGACCATCCGCGCGGCTTTATCTTGTTCCTGTACGGAGTTATTGGCAAAAAAAAACTTTGGTGACCTTTGATGACGTCACATGACCTTACAGCTGCCCAACAGCAAAAAAGACCTCAAGGCAGTGAAGGTTGATCGTATATGAGGTCAGGTATGGTTTATGGGGCCATTCCGACCCGTTTTAGTGGTAAAAACAGGGAGTTGATTTTTTCCCCATTGACTTATAATTGGGAGTTTGAGAAATTGACCTGACCTTAGGTCATCGATATCAAAATTCCGAGATATACAAATTGTAGCTACTAATGATCTTATAACATCCTGCAACTTTCAAAGGCCTCCGACATCTACTGTAGCTCTGGCACGGTGACAAAGTTGCAAAAAAGTGACTTGAGGTTGGGTCATTCAAAGTGACCTTGTCACCTGACCTTAACCCGCGCCGGGCCGGTGCTCTGAGATCCGCGCCGGGCCGGGGGGGGGGTGTCTGAACACCCCCCCCCCTTCTAACTCGGCTCCTGGGCCACGTAGCGATACGCGGTATAAGCGGCAATAGAAAGAACGTCCAAAATAAGGACGAAAACACTTCGGTCATTTTTTGGGTCAGGTCAAAGGTCAGGTCACCAGAGGTCACCAAAGGTCAAATGTTCACTATTTCAACATTTTGGAAACTGCCAACGGCTATCTCGGGAACCGATAGAGCTACAGCGCCGCAGAAAAGCGCATTCGATAGCCCTTTTACAGACCTTTCTGAGTAATGTTCTCAGATTTGACCTCAGGTCAACGGTTTAGCCTCCAGAGGGCAAAAACTCTAAAAAATAGCCGTTTTTACGAAAGACGTAATAACTTTCGGCAATAACTTTTGACTCAAAAGAGCCATGACATTACTTTTGCCACCATCGTGTTCCTCTCGTCGAGACGCGTCGAATGAACTAAAATTTGACCTTGAAAGGTCAACTTGAAAATTTGACCTCAGGTCAAGGTCATGCCTGACCGGAAAAGGTCATGTTGCATATCAGTCGATCCGCAACGTCGAGCCGAACACATCTAAGGCGTTTTCAGCGCTCTAGCACGTCTCTGTCAGAAGTTATTAGCGAAAAACTGTTAGATTCTGTTCGTGACCTGAGATGACCTCGGGGACATAACGAGGGGTCACAGTTGCCATTTTCCGGTTCAGTGTGTCCATTTTACCTACATCTCGATGTTTGAGAGTGTCTAGAATAGCGTTCGCTCAAAACAGACGCTTTTCAATTTTCTCCCATTGACTTATAATGGAGAGGTCGCCAAATTGACCTGACCTTAGGTCACCGATATCAAAATTCCGAGATACACATTTTATAGATAATGTTGCTCTAATCAATCGCTGAATGTTTCAAGGCAATCGATCAATCGGTGTAGCTATTACGAGCATTCTTATCTTTTCTGAGGTGAGGTCACTTGGCGTGACCTGGTGACCTGACCTAAGGTGACCTGGGTCTGAAATTTTCACAACATTTGCGGAAAAGATGCACAAACAGGTGTGCCAAAAACGGCGGCGCTCCGCGCCGCCGTTTTTGAGATATCTGCGAAAACCGCAAGGGGGGGGTGTTCAAACACCCCCCCGGCCCGGCGCGGGTTAAAAGTTAGGAGGTTCAAACTTGCACACCATGTGTAAAATTGATGAGAGAGTAGCCGTACCAAATTTCGCGGTTTTCCCGCTATCTACGAAAAACCTCAGGGGGGGGGGGGTGGATATCCGCCCCCTGCGCGGGTTAATTAACGGCAAATGTGGCGCTATAAATATTTATCACTTGAACCGATGAAGGAACGCCTCCGAAATACATTCAAGTGTTTTTGTAACTTTTGGCAATTTTTAGAATTTTTAACAGAAGGTTATAGCATTAAAAAAAAAAAACACATAATGCTGTTCACCAAAGTACTTCGTCATCAGAGGCTAGAAATTAAACATAGTTACAGCAGCGAGTGATAATGCGTATGTAGGCAAGAGGCATGCATGAACCAACTCTGCTATAAATAAAGACCTATAGAGATCACAGCAACGCAACGAAATGATGTGACGTCCCTGACAATTCTACCTTCATCAGCACCAACTTCAGGCGCACGTTTTCATCACAGTCACAGACCACTTCCGTCAATGCGTGGTCACAAACAGAAGAGGTAATCTTCCATCACAGGGCTTTAAAGAGCCACATAGTTCTTCCGAAATTGACCATTTTACACCAGATTCATCTAGCGCAGTGGCCACACCTAATCTGTTGATCCCAGTTTTCCAAGCCGTCGACGTCGGAAGCCGGTTATGTCGGAGAGTTTTATTATCAATTGAGGTTGGGCAATGGGCAATGCCCAGTGCCCACAGAGCAAGCAAGGTGTTCGGATCAAGGAATACAGCACGATGGTGATTCGACGCTTTTCTCACTTATTCGACTCAACCTCCCGTCTCTCTCCTTCGACCTCATAAAGGAACCCCGGCAGTGCCGTGGCCTGGCCGGGCCCGCCTCCTGGCCGGGTCCCAGGGCTGTGCTGGACGGCCCCCTCGCCGCGCTGCGAACTAGCCACACTGCGCGCATTACCGCCACCGTCCCGGAAAGGAGCCGCGGCCGATCTATCACACCGGCGCAGTCCTGACTAATGCGTATGGTCCCACCGATGCGCCGCTGGGTAAAGACACTGCAGCACCGGTGCAGCACCGGCAGCCCTGCCGCATCACCCTTGGGTGATGCTTGTGCCAGATGCTGCGTCGGCACTCTATGAACGTCACAATAGATGAGGGTGGCGGAGTGTGACGTCAGGCTAGCAACGGACACGGTAAATAATGCAGAGAACGGGCTGTTTAACGAGGGATACTTACAGCGGCAGCCGAATCCGATCCAGTGTGATGCTTACATGAAACTGCATGACCGAAGCTGTGACATGTTGCAGAAATTGTTTTTGAAACACTGTCTTCGAAATCAGATCATCTTAAACTTTTCAATAGGTAAATGCTACATGCTGTAGGTACTGGTAGCGCGAAAAGATGAAAAGGAAACAACACACACACAATGCAAACAGTCATCGGATTCAGCGCGTTCAATTCGATGTCACATCGTGTATGCAGTGTATGATTGCCACCCACCTCAACAGTGGGACGGAAAAAAACATTTGTTGGAATTTCGTCTGTGTAAACACGAGCGCTTTGTAACCAGTTATTCCAGAACAGCTCGGAGAAAACATTTAAATTTGACGCTTGTTGGTTGTTCGGAAGTGCATAAAAACAAAAAGCAGTGTCATAGTGGTTTTACAACTATGACAACAGCCATAAATAAACATGCTCACTCGCCATTTCCTTGGTGTTCTGTCCCCCCCCCCACCCCCACCACTATACCTTCCGGCCTTTTCATTCAGGCGCCTGAGATGAGTCACTTGAGCTTTGTAAGAAGGGCAGACACTACGCAATACGCATGTCAACGTAAGCAAGCAATGCCGTCACATTTGGCCGGCTAGCAGTCATACAAATCACCTGCTTGCAGGGTGAGCACCTGCAGGGTGAGCGCATAACGTCACTGATAATGGCCCCCATGTGCTTTAAACACCGGCGCGGTGGGCGTTTTTCGTCGCCCCCGCTGTCCCGTGTGTGCCGGCTGAGTGTATCTGACCCCCGGCTCATCATTTATCAGTGCCGATAGGTCGCCGGGGCGGCCGTCTGATCCAGTCGCGGCATCAGATAGCGCCAATCAGGGCCGCTATCGGTGCCGGTGGCCGTCACCGGCGCTCCGTGCGGCTCGTGTCGGCTCGTGTTCGCAGTGAAGTCGCCCCGACGGGAGACGGGGACCGCGCGGTGTAGCCCCAGGGGTCGGCCCGTGGACCGACCGGCGCCGCTCGCCGCGGGGGTTCGGTGTGGGTGTGAGCGTGACTCCTCAGGGACGACAGTGCAGCCCGTGGCGCCCGACAGTCGCCCGAGGACAGAGCATAGGTCGGCCGCAGAGGGAGTGACGGGGACGGGACAGAGGGAGGGAGAACGGCGGGGGATGTCCATCCGGTCACTGAAACCGCACTGATCTGGTCACCACGGGTGGAAGTGGTGTTTTGGGGGCCGTGTACCGCCGCGCAGCAAGAGATACTACTTCCGGTGTCGTCACTGATCGGGGAGGAATGACGTCACGGGTCAGAGAAGTGTGACGTCACCGCCGCAGGGACTGCGGGGAAGCAGAGCCGGTCAGCAGGACCCGCCGCACTTCCAGAGCGGTAAGAAGCAAAACGAAATCGAATAGAATCGAGTTTATTTTGAACGTTTAAATGTTCGCCAGCGGAATTCATTACTATATCGCACGTTTTGCTGTTGAATGCTATATTCAATGCATGTAAACCAAGGCCGTTTAGATATAGGTACTGATCTCATACAAATGTTGAAAACTTCTCAGTCAAGGGCTACGGAGTCGATGGTTTTTTTTTGGTGACTACGGCTGACTTTTTAAACTCAGGTCAAGGTCGTGATCTGATTGAGATGGGTCACGTTGCATATCAATCGAACTGCATTGATGAGCTAAAGTAAACACATTTCAGGTGCTTTCACTGATTTACCATGCCTTCATCAATAGTCATTGTAGTAAAACTGATGATAACCTTTTATGATATTTGCATTTTCTGCAATTATTCACAATTTCATGCGAAATACGATGTCTCTAAAACATCGTGGAATAACTGGTCGTGCATCTCAATGATGAGTGTGTCTCGCTATCATTGCGTGACGCCGATGTCGAGACCTTGGAAGCTTCGATACCATGCCGTGTCCATTTCCGGTCGGTATGTATAGCACAGCACCGTATATCGTGATGCCGAACAATCTGACTCCGGTTATCGCCAAGATAGGAAGGACAAGGTGCAGTCACGTAGTAGTGATACATGGCAAATCTAGCGATAATCTTCCGATGACTGGGTTTGATAAGCATGCCAAAATAGTCAGTTGCGTTTAAAAGGAAATATATTGAATCCTCCCTTGACCTTCAGTTATCTCATGGTGCCAGGTGACCCCCATTTTTCTACAGTCTGGATCCATTGTGAGGTGTTTGATCATTTCCGCCCGTTAAACTATAACAGCTCTAACACCACCCCAGTTTAATAAGCAGTGGTGGGACAAATGGTTCGGCGTCTTCGGAGCGACTTTTGCTGATTCGGTGCTTATTTCCTACCAAACTAGACTCAGAGGCGTACCTATTTTAAAGCACTTTAATTGGACGTGGAAATCTGGCAGGTATTTATAGAGACACGTCAAATGAAAATGGCTTTTCATTAACATCAGACGCTGTTGTCTCCGACTGACGTAATGAAGGAGATGGATGATGTGGACTGTCGGGCGTATGGGCATTGGGCATTTTGCATAATTTGTTGATACGAGTACCCGTAAGGTCGGAGCTCACTGCTTTATTAATTTCCTAAACACCGATTCATGGATATCCTTGCCACTTTTATGACTGAAAGCACAAAGCTCCTTTGATTTCAGCTATTTTATTTCTTTTTTTTTTTTCTATTGGCACGGCACTTCATTGTCATCGGTGAAGATATGGACACACCACCCGAAAACGCTCGTTTGCTCTGTCAGCTTTAAACACTTCCAGCTCTATAGCACAGTTCTGCGTGGCACTGTAGCGATAACTTCTTTTTTAAATGAATAAAGCTGGACCAGGTTGAATATAAGCCAACCTGAACCGTAACCTCTTCGCACCACTTCTCTTCAATCTCGGTGAATGTCTAACGCTTCATATTTGTCCCTTCTGGCGCAATCACATACGACTTCCCAACATACGATACGACTGTTAAGCATTGCGTGATGTCGCAATCTCGCTCTTCGTTGTTTCAGTTAGGCATATGTGCCTATTGGAAGAAAAGTCTTCGTGTCTGTTTGGTAAAACCTCGCACTGCATATAGATACCTTCCAGCACTTCCATCAAAGTGTTATTGCGACTTTCATTGAACCGGTTAAGCGTTTAAATCACGAAACAAGCATCCGACACGTTCACCATTTTGGCCAGCCTGTAAATCACCCAATCTTGACACTGAAGAAGACCGGATCCACGCAGCGCTTAGCCCTGCGGCAAAACTTCCGCTCCGTGGACCATAGTTGAATAGTTGTTAAAACAGCAATATCAAGCGGAAGATCCAACGATACTTTATGGAATATAGTTCAGAAATGCGTCATCAACCCTATCATTATCATTATTTTCAGCATTATTTTGTACATGCAAAAAGAAAGACAGTTGATTAGGTACACGGAAGTTCAAGTTCTGAAACGACGGTTGGTTTTCATTAGCTAATTGTGATCGAAGCGTTTAGCAAGTTCAGAATGCTATACAGGGTGATCCAAAAAATTGGAACCCCTAACTTAAAATGTCCTTAAGTCAGAAAATTTTCACTTTATTGACAAATTGCAAACACCATTAGCTAGAGCGTTCAATTTTCTATAAAACCAAGTTGATTGAACTGAATTATTATTATAAATATTGCCATAGACATATGCCTATAAAATTTGTGTCACGAAACTCAGTGAAACGGTTTTGAACATTATGCGCAAATAAGTGATTGACGGTTTGCTTTGCTGTTCTGACCATGTCGCTTGTTAGAGCCGTTAGAGGTTCATGAATAAAAATAGCTCATTCACGTGCTATTGTAAAGAAAGAAAAGGCTGACGGCTTGCTGGGACCAGTTGTCCCAGAGACTGCTGGTCTACCGTCCCCAAGCAACTGCAGGCCTGCGTGACGGCCCACGGAGCTCGCGTTGAGCACATGCTGGATGAACAGCGGAAGCTAGGACGCTTGTATCTGTTCTACTGTGTGCTTCTGTGTAAACTTTTATGAAATAAAATTGAATTTGGATTCGGTGTTATTCGCAAAAAGACAACAGATAGAGTGCTAACAGATTTCAGCGCATTGTTAGCATTTGTCGATTTCGTTTCACTCAGTTTCCTGACGCTCATTCCAAAAGCTAATAGTGTACCAATGCTTTACAACATACATGCACCAATTTGACGTGGTTTATAGAGGATTTAATGCTCTTTCTAATGGTGTTCGCAATTTGTCAATAAAGTGAATATTTTCGGTCTTATAGACATTTTAAGTTAGGGGTTCCAAATTTTTTGGATCACCCTGTATATGTAAATGATACAAAGTTTCAAAGTATTTTATATTTCTTACATCGCAGTCCATCTGGCTATTATGAAAACTTGGGATTTCATGATAAGCAAAGGCAATTTCTCGAAGGCATTTGAGAAATTACGTTTATCATGGAAGAATATGAAGGCAGAGGTAAAAACGTTCGATATACATATATAATTTGACGAGATACGTTTAAATATTGACGCCTCGAAGACTGCCTGAGGCAAATGACGAAGTGTTAAGTGACTAATGCAAATTGCTTACTGACTAGTGCAGATGGCTCAATATCTGATTCGTTTGTAATAAGCGTCTTGTTGCTGATCCTGGGGTAAAGATACCTAAAGACTTCAAACCTTTCAAACATTTTTTTTTGTTTCACTGGCCCATCCAATAATACCCCCGTTTTTTCCCATGCTGAACATCTGTCTTCTTGACATTTGTCTAACTAAGGCATTATATTTAGACAACGTTTCGGCAAACAAAGCTTCTTATAGCACGTACACTAAACCAGCAATGAAAGATGAATGGAATCGCAGGAACAGTTTCTGCTCAGGCAAGAACAACTTTAGACACTTTGACAAAGTACCGGCAAAACTTCTTCACTGCTGAGCAATAGAGATGTAATTCTGGGCCTCTCAATTTAGTCGATTAATTTGAACTTGCGGACCGTAGTTCTGGAAGAGTGACTTTATCAGCCCATTTACTACTATCCCCTGGCTCAGAACAAAATTAGCCGTGCTTTCGCGATGTGACACACACTGGGTCGTGGTCCTGCGAGTTATGGAGCGAAGGCAGTCTGGTTGGTCCCACAGCATGTGTGGAAATAGAACGATCGCATTGTCCAGATTAACTACCATAGGTGCACAGTAGAGCGTGCCTTGGCTGTCTTGAATCGTGTTAAAAACTCTAGAGATTTGGCGAAACTGGGTGGAAGAGAAACAGCAGAAGCCTGATCGTGTTTTGGGTTCCTGGTACAGCGCCAGTTTAGTGGTGTGGGTGCCCTGTCTTTGTGCGATAGTCCCAGTTTTGGGGCGGAGGTCATGATTTCGGTGCTGATCAGCTGGAGACTCAGCGATGCGCCCGTTGTACCTCTGTCACAGCCTTTTGTTCGAGGATCGGTTCGTGTGTAAGTCACTGCCTGGGTGCAGTGCGCGATCGATCCTCTGCTGAATGAGGACAAAGGAGGCCGGCCACCACTGATTTATCACATAGCTCAATGGTTTCCGCCGACTACGTACCAACAACACCAGTGTGTTGGTACCAACAACAGCGCGCACTTGAATTGCAGTAGCGAGTAGCGAGATCATCATTGGTATAGTACATTACACCAACATATAATGCCGCAAATAATACGTCATATTTCATGCTGTATTCTAAACCGTAGCCACCAACATGACTGACATCAGTGATTACATATAACGGCAGTGCTCGGACATGCAGTGGATGCAGTGCAAGTGACAGCTGAGGTTGACAGCCAGTACAGACTACCACGTCGGTCTCATCCCACTGACAGCGAGGTCTACGCAATGTCACCCTGCCAAGTGCGTGCTTGAGTTACGTGCGCTGTTCTGCAACGTTTTGTGGTTCTCATAGGACTTTTGTAGCCGATTATGAGTGTTGTGTCAGTGTGACCTGCGGACTGCGGTTTCTCAGATGGGGTCTCTGGTGGCTGTCCTCTCCGAGTGGACGTGGCGGCTGGTTGGACACTTCGTACGGGCTCTCCGCTGGACTTCTGCGCGGCTCTACGCATGGCTGGGCCTCGGGAAGGCCGATGATGCGAGTAAGGTCGCAATGCTGCAGCTTCAAATCGGTTGGCTGGTGCTCGTGGATACTTTATCATGTGCTTCAGTGCTAAAAGGTTCCGTTCGACTTTGTCTTGCACGCTTTAATGTGTGTGCTATGACGATTGTACTTATTCAGTAACTTTGCATCGCAGTACTCCTTACAACGTCGGTACACTGCGCATCAAAATCGAACGGAAGAAGAGTGGGGGACGGGGCTGGGGGAGAGGAGTGACTTAAGGGAAGCCTTATCGCAAAGGAACAGACCATGGCTGGAGCACTGCTGAGCTCTCAAGTCTCCCCCACACACGAGCATTTAGTTAAGTTACTAACTTTTGAAATGATTAACAGCAGAGACCCTTTCATAACATTCATTCAGCTATTGTTGAGCACTGAGCAGCTTAGTTCAAGTTGTTTTCCTCTGGCCCCGGCGCCGGCTGCGCGCCTGCCGCCCGTTCCGCTGACACTGGCAGACCGCTGGCCCGGTCCGCTGACACTGACCGCGCCCCGCCCGGTCCGCAGCGCTGGCAGATGCCGAGGAGCGCGCCGAACTGCTGGCCTGGGTGAACCAGCAGCTGCCCGGTCAGCGCGTCACCAACTTCGGCGCCGACTGGACGGACGGCCAGCGGCTGGGCGCGCTGGTGCGGGCGCTGGCGCCGCGCGCTGTGCCGGCCGACCAGCGCGCCGCGGGCGGCCAGCAGCCGCTGCTGGCGGTCGGCGCCGCGCTGCGCAGCGCCCGACTGCTGCTCAAAGTGGACCCGGTCAGTAACCCGCACATGTGCAGGGATGACTACAAGGCAAGTGCTATTATGCCTTACAGTATTCATTCTACTTGGTAAACTTCTATCACTGTAATTATTGATTAGGCAAGTATTCAAAACACATGAAGAGCCGTGTACGTCTGTACAAATCTGCTTTGCTCTGCCCTTTCGGGGGATGGGGGAGGGGTGGGGGGTGGGGATGACATTAGCCCCGTTAACATAGGGCTAGTTGCCTGATAGTGGAATTCCGATACCGAGACATTTATTCCATTAAAGGAAACAGTTCACTTTCCTGAAATTAGTATTTTGCTATTGATTTATGATTTTTTATGCTCAAAATGATCATGAAATAAAATAAAACCTTTTTGTAAAAACAATTTTTTTTCTATATTTTAATATAGGACGAACTATATTCTATGTAAAATAATGTTTGACGCGGAAGCTTATTACGCGTTGACCAATCATATCGCGTAGTTCAAACCTACGCATACTGCATTGGCTGTAAGCAGCATGCTGATTGGCTGACGATGACGTGGCTGCATTCCTGTGCAAGGCACACATTCCTCTGCAAGGCACTCTTTTCGGAACGAGAAATGGAATATCTTCGTCTAGGGTGATCATTGAGCCGTAAAAGCTCCTGCTTTGTGCTAGTCTCAGCTCAAGCTACGAAACTGCTATTCCAGTTCAAAACCCCATGTTAAAAGTGAACTATTTCCTTTAACGAGACATTTCAGACACATTCCGCTAGTTTTGACGACCTATCCGGACATAGCCCTATGAAAACGGGGCTACTGATTGATAGCGAGGAAATTGTCCTCTCCCATGAGTGATGTTCCTTACAGCTTTGGACACCTGAGCCGTTATATTCAAGTCATTGACTGCAACATTGCAACATGCCACTAAGCGATCAGGCGGTCGAACCCCGTTTTCTTCTCCTTGTGTGATCGACACAATCGAAGCTCTCATGTGGGCTAGAAGCGTAACAACAGTGTTGTTTTTGCAATAGCATCGATTTCAAATCAGCCTTGGCGGAGTCATATTCTCGCAATAATCGCTGCCGGAAGGAAAGTCGTAATGTACGAGCATATTTGTACTGACTGGATGTGAGTTGAATACGGCCGACTGAAAAAAGCTGAAAAGGTGAAAGAGAGAGATTTCACCTGCTCTTGACGGCCGAGAGGGAGGGAGGGAGAAAGAGAGAGAGAGAGAGAGAGAGAGAGAGAGAGAGAGAGAGAGAGAGAGAGAGAGAGAGAAAGAGAGAGAGAGAGTGAGAGAGATAGAGAGAGAGAGAGAGGGGGGAAGAGAGAGAGAGAGAGAGAGAGAGAGAGAGAGAGAGAGAGAGAGAGAGAGAGAGAGAGAGAGAGAGAGAGAGAGAGAGAGAGAGAGAGAGAGAGAGAGAGAGAGAGAGAGAGAGGAGAGAGAGAGAGAGAGAGAGAGAGAGAGAGAGAGAGAGAGAGAGAGAGAGAGAGAGAGAGAGAGAGAGAGCATGCCGCACTTACCGGCGGCTTGGCGGTGCTATCGCTGTGAAGTGACACCGATGTCTTTTTGTTTGTCTGTCCTGGCCATCAAGTGGCTGATCCGTACAGCTTTTGTAATCGTTTAAAGCACATGTAGTATCTGGTCAGTGCTGATGTGAGCCAGATCAAGATAGTCACGATTTTTGATAGTGTCTCTCAGATCGATAGGCGGGTGCTATGCGTCAATCATTTCTCAGGTGCTCCTGAAGTATTCCTCTTGTATTGGAAAACAATGATATCAAAGGTATCGCTTTATTCAAGAATATGCTAATAGCTTATTTCCGAAATGCGAGCATAACGGTTGTGTATAGTTGATAAGTATGTCCTTGCTTCCTTTATGTGCTAGTTCCTGTACACTTATATCGGAACATATAATTGTCAGGCACACGCAAGCGTTACTTCCACATCAGACTATGCTAACATCGCCCATTACAAAATGGCCAAATGAACTACGGCTTCTTGACGCATTAAGAACGATGAACGGACGCGGGATGACTATTGATAGGATGACTGGATCACTGTTTTTGTTTTTGTTTCTCCAGCGATGTGATAAAAATAGCAGCGTGTGAACCGCGAAGTGTGCACGGCACAGCAATCCTGGGCCTGGTTTCCATTGTAGGCACGCGTATTGTGTAGTTACCAACAAATGGCAAGCATTCTTCATCTCTACAGAACTGTTGCAACTTGCATGCAAGTTGAACCACCAGTCAACTGCTAATTGCATTGGTCATATGGTCATATATTGACGATGCTTTGCCTTGGTCAAACTCAGTGCACATGTGAAAGGATGGCATCCTATTCAGCCAAATCGATCAGGTAAATTTGCTGAAACAATTTACTTATCCAACTTAGCTTCTATCGATCGATTCCTGGGAACTTTTGTGTATGCCTCTTCAAAGCCTCGTTGAGGATTGCTTCGTAAATGCTGGTAGGTAGGTAGGCTCTCTCTGAACACCAAACAATTGGCCGGTCAAGACGGTCACTGCATGCAGCAGTCTTCACATGTTGCATGCAGTGACCACCTGCTCCCTTCATTGGCGAAAACATTATACTTCGTTAGAACTTGCGATAGTCGTCAACTTTATCATCAGTAATGTGCGAATGCCCGTAGGTATGTGGGGATACCCTTATAGTTATTCTGTTGTCCGCTGCTGGTGCACTTTAGCACCTGGGCAAACGGTACTTGCCTGGGCACAATAGCACTATATAAGCATACAGCAATGTAGAAAGCAGCACATAACCGAATGCTCACTCAAAGGCTTGGAAATCCACTGGTTTTCAAATTACTTTAACCCCATTGTAGTCTATAAGATTAAGACATCGTGCACGATCAATTGCACGTTTTTTTCCTTTTCAGACGCTGACCGTGATGGATATAATATGGGCCACGGACGAGCAAAAGCTGATAAAGTATCTCCAGAAGCTTCGTGAGTCAGCCAATCGCCTGAAGAAGCGCTTCACACTGGTCAAGACGCCGTCCTTCATGGCTGCTGCCGATCCTGAGCCTCACATTGACCGCGGCGTTAGCTCTAGCAGAGGTGGCGGCGAGTGCACCGCCAGCGGGACGGGCCTGCTGAGAGCGGAGCGCGGCCGGGTCGCCGAGTTCAGCGTCTTCTTCCCGCGGACCAGCCAGCCAGACCTGCTGCTGGAGCTGCGCTCCGAGACCGGCGACTTCTTCACCCAGCGCGTGACGGAGCGGTCGCCGCCGCGGGTGGCGCTGGCCGACAGCCTGCGGACCGTGTCCGGCATCGGCCTGCTGCGCACCATCCCGGTGGGGTACCGGGTGACCGGCAAGGCCGTCATGGTGTCGTACCGACCGCCCACCGAGGGCCAGCTGGAGGTGAGCGTCGTGTGGCGCGGACACCACGTCCCCGGCAGTCCCTTCACCCTGCTCGTCAAACCCGGCGAGCCGGACGGAGAGGAAGTATCGCAGCCGGAGGTCAACATCGTGCTGTCGCCTCCAGAAAGAGATGCTGTGCCAGTGTCGAAGAAAGACGTCGCTGTACCCCTTGGAGCGACGCTTCGGCCCTTGCCGGTGCTGCGCGAGCTATCACGAGAAGATGACGGGGGTCCAAAAAATAACGGTTTGCATCAGACTGAAGGAGAGAAAGGCATAAATGGTTCAGTAAAAAGCGGTGATGAATCTTTGGAAGGCCAAAAAGTCAGCAGCAACCAATCTGCAAACAGCTCAGACGACGGACGTCCGAGTAGAAGGAATGACGCTCGGTCAGTGACACGTAATGGAATCGGACAGTTGACTATCCCGAACAGGGATGTCTTTCCAAAAGCAAAGTATGCATCTGAAGCTAGAGAGTCAGATGAAAGGAGTGACAAAGCTGTCGACGACACATCAGGAGTTGCTCCAAAACAAAGAGTGTGTGAGGTTAGCAGTGGCGAGGATGCCGAACTTCAAGATTTAGTCGATGATGGATCTCAGTTTCGGGAAGAATCAGAAGCATCAAAGTCTGAAAAAGATGATCCCGGGTTACAGCTACAGCTAGATCTCGAAAGGAAGTTTTCAAGAGCTTCTCATGGGGACTTCGAAGATGGCTCTTCTAATGCCTCACAAGACTCAGCAGATGAACAAATCAATGCGCAATCAGCATCAGTCATTCGAAACAACACAGAAACAAAGATATACCCAGAGGAGGGTGGCATCGATGCCAGTGACCAGCAACACTCGCTGGGAAGTCGAGATGACGAGCAAGACATTGGCATTGACAGTGTCAGCAACGACGGATATAAAGATCTCAACCATCTTAGTACTAACGAAACTGAAGCACTGAAACCATTGGAGCAAAAAGAGGGCGAACAGATGCCAAGAGATACCACTTCAACCAGCCCAAACACAAACTCAGCTACCCATAGTGAGGCAGAGACTTTTGATGAGTGGGACAAAACGTCGAGCAATGAGGAGGTACTGTCGACAGACAGAGATGATCCCGAGGTGGCTTTGGTTACCAGCGATGAAGCGAATGAAATTGGCAACAATTCGATTAGCAGCCCGTTCCACAGGATAGCCGAGGAGAATCAACCAAATGAAACTCAATTACAATCCAAGCGACAGCTGGAATGCCAATCATCGGCGCCCAAGACGCTGCGAACATTGACAGAGAAGGGCGCCTTTGACGATCAATCAGATGAGTCAATATCGGCTGACAAAAACGTGACCCAGCCGAACCTTGTTCCTGCGACCCACGCCATAACATCGCGTGCATGCAAGGATGACAAAAATGAGCCAATCAGTTCTGTTGACTCCCAGTCTCGGTCTGCGCCAATATCGCCCTCGCAGACGTCTGCGGGCGCTACATCCGTCACCGGCCTGCTATCGCCGGGCCTGGTTTCCGGCGTGTTGTCCGAGTTTATGGACGCCGGAGTGGCGCCGACCAGCGGCCGGAATGAGCCCATTGATGACACAGACGCGGTCTCGCCACACGGTAAATGGTCACCAGTACGGGAAGGCGTCGTACCCGAGTCGCGGCCAGCCGCAGCCGACCGCCGCCAGACGGCCACCGACCCAGTCACAGCGGGTCTCACGGAGGACGTGGGGGTGCATCCAACCCCGGCCACAACATACCAACAGGTGCTAGCTTCAGCTGACACTCAACAGGACCCGACTTCAGCAAATCAATTGCAAGATCTAGGTACAACAGACCAGTTCCAAGACCCAACTGCAACAAACCCCCAGCATGGCCTGGCTGCAATGGGTCAGCAACAAGACCGGATTACAGCAGACCCTCAACAGACCTTTGCTACAGGTGAGCACCAGGCTCTGGTAACAGCACATCTTTTTATGGGTTGTCAGGTCCTGACAACAACGGATCCTCAAGAGGGCCACGCTAGAACAAACCTTCAACACAGACAGGCTACAGCAGACCCTGAGACAGACTTCGTCACAGTAGACTCACTTCAGAACGAAAACCTGATTACTACAGACCCGCGACCGGATCAGACTGAAAAGGTCCCAAAGCAAAACAGGGCAAAAACAAATCAGTATCAGGACCTGACTGCAACAGACGATCACCAAAGCCCGGCTGTAACAGACCCTTGTAAGAACACGGCTGTTTCAGATGCTCAGCAGCGTCCAGCTACCACAGACCCACGCCATGCATTTGATTCAACGGACTCTCGACAGTATTCAACGGAAACAGACCAACAACAGGGGACAGTTCAAACAGACCCTCGACAGGGGCCCGAGAAGGGACTGTTACCTAACTCGTCAGATTATGATGAGCAGGGCACATCTAGGAAGCAATCCGTCGCCTCTGACACCACTGAAGGTAGTTTAGATTCCACCGAAGTACCACCATTCCTTCAGCCAGTAATGGAGCAAACTTGCGGAGAAAATGAATCATCTAGCGAACATTTCACTTCGCCTGAGAACACTACAAGGGCTCCACTGGTAGCGTGTGAATTCAGCTTGAACAGCGGGAGACCAGCGCCAGATGTGAAGCACTCCGAAACCATGGCACCCAGCTACGAGGTCCACTTTGCACGTGTGTCTGACGACAGCAGCAGCAGCGGCAGCAGCGTCGGCGAGGCCGATGACACCCAGTCTGAGCGGTCCCAGGGCGGGGTCAGACTGCAGCGCTGGGGGCGCTTGTCCCCCATTCGCAGCTCCGGTGAGGAGCGGCACGGCGGCGACAGCGGGTCGCCTTCCCCGGACCCGCCTCCCGAGAGTGCCGGCCCAGCTCACCTCTCCGGAGGCGCAGCGCCGATTGGTGATCTATCACTGTCGCTCGCGACACCGACCTGGCTCTGCACTCGGCCACCACCCTCCGTGTCCAGATCACTCTCACGGAAAGAGGAGCAGCTCCCACGCGACGGCGACATGGCCATCCAGGGACAGATGGTGCCAGCTGACGTCGCGGAAAATGTGGGCCCTTCTGATAAATCATTACCATTTGCAGAATGCCTAAGCATAGTGGAAGATAAGGGAGAAGGTGACGCCAAAGTCGACTCTACGACACGGCAGAGCGCAGGTACAGAAAGTTCCGAACTTGGGTGCAATTTATCTTCTGCAACCAGCGACCTCTCAAGTACAAACTTCCCGGAGTTTGCCGAAGCTAGTTTGCCAGCTAAAACCACACACGGAATAGAAAATAACGAGACTGTACTCGAAGACATTTATCGACATTCGGATCCTAATCAGGATAATGTGTCGCCCGATTCACCACAAGGCACCGCGGACTGTGCTGCCGATGAGAGCGACGGAGGAGTGATAGATGCTGCCTCTGACACCGTGGACAGGCACAATCTGATGACGAATGGCAGTGACCTTACAGCCACGAATAGTGCATCGGCACCTGATGAGTCTCGGTCCCTGTGCGGTGTGACTGAAGATGACATGACCATATTAGACGACCCTGAAACCGTTGACGAGGGGAGCGATGCCCCCAATCCATTACCGACACCAGCCCTGGCCACTGGGGTGCAGCTGGGACAGGGGCGCGAACCGACACCGATCGTCCCCGGCACGGCTCAACCGCCGCCCAGGTACAGCGACTTGTACGCCGACTTCGAGACTCCGCGCGAGTCCCGGTACCGACTGCACGCCGAGCAGAGCCGCTCCAAGGTGTACCTGGGACCGGTACTGGCCCGTGCGCGGCCGTCAGTGGTGACAGCGCAGACACTGGCCTGCGTGCTGAATGAGCCCCCGCCGCCCCCGATCGCCGCCGGCCCCACCGACATAGCTCCGGTGGTCGGATGTGATGATCGATTGCTTACCGACAGCGGGCAAGCAGTAGGTGGTGGAGCCGCTGGAGAGGCAGCTCAGCCGTCAAGTACCCTGGAAATGGTCTCAGTATCACCCCCACCTACCCCACCGCCTTCCCCGCAGCCTGTGGGGAAAATCGCACCAGAAGAGGTCCCGACAAAAACGCCGAGCACTGCTGAGCTGCTGGCGCCCGCTGAGGCTCTAATGACCGCGCTGTCTAGCGACCCGGTCATCGCCAAACGAGCTGTGTCACCGGAGCGTGCCGCTGGGTCGTTGGAGCGCAGCGGCGATGGGGTCGGAGGTGGTAATGTGACAGGAACGGCGGCAGTCGACAGTGGCAAAAAGCGAGAGGAGGGTGTACTGAACGATGAAATGGAGAACTTGGACGATTCAGAAAACGAGGAGAATTTGCGGAGACTTTTTCCCAGTTCCAATCCTCCAGAGAAATCGCAAGAACATGAGGAGATTGTTGATATTCAAGAGTGTATACTACAGGATTCTGCTTACCGCGACACTGGTGATGAATATGCATCCAATGGAGTGACAACGGAAGCACAACCAGTGCAAAACTTCGACTCGGCTACTAATGGGTTAGCCGGAAAGTTTTCCGGAAAAGATTCTATAGTCACTGACATTTCAGCCTCGCAGTCGAGCGAAAACGAGACACAGACACGGCAGCTCCACAATGCCAATGCAGATGTGCTCGATATAAACGAGAATAATAATTTGACAGCAGACGGCATTGCACTCCCCGAAGAATTCTACCCAGACGTAGGTGCCACACAAAACATAGGAAAAGCGACAGCAGAAAGAGGAGACAGAGGGAACAAAGCAGGAGATCAACAGCCTATGAACACCCATGAGGAGCACCGGAAGAAAACGGCTACAGATACTTTCACCGTGAGCTACCCTGCCACAAATTCCCAGGGAACTGAGGCAGACACAATTGAGAAAGAGGACATTGTCGCGAGGCGATTCTCGGAATCGTCTACTGGCTCGGGCGTTTCGGCGGACACGGTAAGGGCCGTTTGCAGCAAGCGTCCTTCACGGACACTGTCCAGCTGCTCGCTGCGTTCGGGTGACGACAGCTCAGACGCCTTCGAAAGTCTTCCAGATGACCCTTCTGAGCTGCACTTCTCCTGCGCCGATAGCGAGGCCTTATCCCTCAGATGCTCCCTGTCCGTTGCCGACTCCGAGGAGCCATGCTTCCTTTCTCAGGAGGATACCATTGAGACATTTTGCACTTTTGATGCACCATACAGCCACGAATCACCCAAACTTGGAGGGGATGTCGACTCAGAACATATTTCAAGTGAAACTTCCGTGTCGCAAGAGCAACTAGCTGAGTTGAGAGGAAGCACATCATCGATGACGGATTCTCAGAGTTCAAGCAGCCACGAGTCTAAGAAGCCACTAGATACCCAGAGGACCGGGAGGGAAAAGCACGGTAAGGTCGTGTCACGGAGGACCGTGTACTGGGTCCCAGGCACTCCACCACCGCCTCAGGAGGGCGGAGACGAGCCAGTGCTGCTGCACTTCATCAGAATTGATCCAGATGCGGTCACACCGCCACAGGAGACGCTGCAAGCTTCTGAGAAGCTAGGCAATGAAGACGAGGCTAGAGCTCCCCACGAAACCAGCCTAGTTGAAGACTCTGATGTCCAGGATGTGACCAGTGAAGTTCAGCAGGAAGAAGGGACGGCTTTGTCCGAGAGCATGATAAACAGTTCATCCTCCAGTGTCCTGTCACAGGATGAAGTGGAATCCCCTGAACCACATGTCATACAGGCGGACAATGAGGTCGCCCCCGATCCAAGGATACTGGAAGCCCCCAGCTCGAGGACCCGATTGCTGTCGAGTGGCACATCTCCGGTTGGCCGCGTGGCCCGGGCCGTGCGCCGGCACTCCGAGTGTGACAGTGCCGACCTGCGGACCAGCAGCCGTCGCATCTCGCCGACAAGCTTCAGCATGGAGGAGGCCAAGAGGATGCTGCTTGATGGCGGCCGCACTCGAGTGAAGCGGCAAGGTGAGATTGATACTTCTTACATTTTTTTGTTACCTACCCCTGTTCATTTCATGTTTATGCCTTGTGATTATGTAGCCTTAGATATTGAAAGCATATAGTTTGCAGCATTAATTACCATGCATTTCGTATTGCCTGATTTTATTCGTTTTAGCAACAGCATCGCAAATGATTCCTTCTTGTTCTGCCATTCCACGACCTCACATCCATTGCTGTCCCACAGTGGAGCCGAGTCTGGAGATCAGGACGGAGGGACATGTGGTGAGGATGCGGGAGATGTTCGAGAGGTTCATCGAGCTGGAGCGGAGCGCCGGAGGCCGGCCGGCCGGTCTGCAGTCCAGCCGCAGTCTGGCCAGTCTGCCGGGGTCCGAGTCCTTCGGGGCGCCGTGGCCGCTGGACGGGGTCGGACGCAGTCACAGCACGGCGGCCCTGTGGCGGCCGGTGGAGATCCACACTCTGGAGCAGCAGGCGCTCGGGAGCCGGGCCATGTCCGAGCCTGCACACCAGCCTGAGGAGGAGGACCAGCCGGAGCGGCGGGGGGTCGGCCCGGCTCCGGAGGGCGTGGAGCGGCCGGTCACAGCGCCGCTGAGGGTGCGCGACTCCCCCCGCCGCAGCCTCTCCTGTTCGGTGGCAGAGCCGATGGTCACTGGTCCAGCGGACATCAATCGGGCGCAGTTCGAGGCCATCCTGCGCTACTTCGAGGGGCTGCGTGACGGCCGCATCCTGGACGGCGCGCCGGCACCGGCTCCGGCCCGGGCGCCGCGCAGCCAGGCGGCTCTGGGCTGGCTGCGGCGGCGCTGGCCGTCCTCCGGAGCGCCGGGCGGCCGGTTCGACCTGCGGCGGGCCGGGCTGCGCCGCTCCCTGGGCGCCCTGCCGCCGCCGCTCAGCCCGCCCATCGGCGAGGGCGACGACGACGGTCTTGCAGACGCTGAGAGCGTGGTCCTGGCGCCGGCGCCGGTCGAGGGGCCGCCGCTGACCGTGCCGCGGGTCATGGCCGAGTACCCGTACCTGTCCAAGAGGAGGTCGCGGCCGCGTCTGGCGGCGCGCGGTCTGATCCCGCACCAGGAGCTGGTCCGGCGCGCCCGGGATAGAGTGGTGGCGTTCGGGCCGGGCCTCTTCCATGGACACGTTGGCACCGACAACACATTCCAGGTGGGTGAGATCACTCGGCAGCAATTTTATCCACAAATCATTAGGCGGCACGGGCGGACATCGATAGCAGCGCCTCTATCGGTCACTAGGGAAAGCTGGGCTGTAGGCGACGAAATACCGGCTGAGTTGTCACACGTGGAATATGTTTATAGCCATCAGTCTTGTGAAAAGGTTGAACTTTTGCCTTTAATATTTCTACAGGCAATTTTAGAAGTGTCTTCACATGGATTACAAAACCGTTTAGATTATTGTATTCACTTCAAGCCTTCCCTATTGTTCTTGATGATGCGGGAACTATTTCTGATTAGTGTTTCTAGCTTAGTAAAATAACATACTGTGCAAACGATGAAAAAAGCATGAATGGAAGATTTTAAATGCATTTTTCTCTAACAATTAATGGTAAATTATCTACATATCAAGGAAAAGGTGCATGCTAAATGATAATTTAAAGTTCTTGGGGCCAGTTGTTTTCTTCTTTTCTTACGTCGCCCCAATGGCCGCGAATACACTTGTGATAACGCCTATCGTGCTCATAACATAGTTGGTTACTAAGGTGATTATGATGGAATCGATTGATGAATCAATGCTGTAAATTGAATCCACGTAAAATGGATATCAAAGATTATTTGTGGTGCCCGAAATGAGATGGTCCGGGCTTACCTAAATATCTGTTCGGTCAGATATGTCTATGTATGTGTATGTACCCGATTACGGATTTCATTTAGAATGCTAATGGAAGCTGCTTCGGAGTACCCCAGCCACCAAATTGAGCATATCGCAGTAAAATTATTGATAGAGTTAAGTGCTTGTGCGAGGAACATTGTAATAGTTATTAAGGTCATGGAAAGGTCATGGTCAGGAAAGGTCATGCTTATATATTTTCAAATAAATATCGCAGTAAAAATCTAAATGACTGAAAACACTAAACAGTGTAACCACAATTTTATCATTGGACCGTATTCCCTAATATAGCATCAACATATTTATTAGACTATAACATTAGGTCAGGAGTCAGCCACCTCCGATGGGCCAGGACCCGCACTCCGCAGTCTGCACCTGTATGGTGTGCTGCCCGCAAGTGGTAGGTATAACGAAAAAATAACATTTCCTTTGTAAAGAGCATATTTTCATAGTTGGAAACAAATCAACATATTTCAATCAAGTAAGGAGTCCTAAGTCCATTCAATACGTTACATTTCGCAAATGTCACACGTGATTGTCGTATGCATGGTAAGTTGTAACTGCTCATGCAATGGCTCGTCCGGCCCAAAGGTGGACAATAGCCGACCTTTGAGCTATTACTACCACTTGGTTTCATCCTTGGCGACGCCGGGCCCTGACCCATGAAAAAGGCAAATAATAATTCGGCTTTTTATTGTCAAGAACAACACTAGCATATTTCACTGCTCCTTGAGATAGTCATAACGGCACCACCACGGTAGAAACATTCAATCTTATTGAAGTGCCAAGTCAGTTCCATCAAGTGTTTGCTCCCTGTTTTTCTTCTAACATGCTGGGCAGCAGCATAACTTGGAGGTAGATATGTGTGCCGCCGGGCGAAGAAGTGTGTCAAGAGCTTGGTTCAAAGGTAAAAGTTTTTCAATAATTAATTCATCAAAGTACTTAACAGAAACAGTGAAAAGGCCTCATATTTAAACGACTTGTGCATAAGGCCCTTCTCAAGTACTAAGTACCTAATTAAGCATTTGTGTCATTCAAAGCATGCGGCTCAACATATTTAGTGCTAAAATAGTGGTATTTGTGGACATACATATAATGTAATAACGCATTATCATTACCCTTTGTTCTACTCCTTTCCGTTTCATCATGCTTATATAAAGAACTTGGTTACCACTTCTCGGAAAAGCTTAACGTTTTTCTCACGACTATTTTGATCCCCGGTTTCTAAGCGAATACCTTAATAATGAATGAGAAGACAGCGAAATTTTTCTCATGATCGTGTGGCACAATCCGTTATTTAACTTTTTCTGACAGCCTTGCTCGCTAACTGTCGACTTTGGCCAGATATCGAGATTATCGATAGGCAGTAAGTGCTCCCCAGCGTGGTAATTTTGTGCTGCGGTCACACACAAAGTGTTCTGTGTGAGTCGGGAGAGGGTGCTATGGAGAGTGTTACCCCTGGCTCATCACCGAGAGTGCACCGTGCACGTGGGCAGACGTGTGTGTATGCCGCTAATGGCAGTGTCAGCTGACTGTCTGTGGAGCGTCAGCTGTCACATGGCACGAACACCATTGGACCACCGACCAATCGCTGATACTGGGCTAGCTGATTTGCAGCTATTTTTGTGATTGTGGTGATGTTACAGTGACATGTTGCTGCGGTCCAGGGGCGTCGCCACGGATTTTTGAGTGGGGGGGTCGGGTTTCTAGTCTTCGCCCGATGGGTAGGGGTGTTTTTTTTTTGCCACACTTCCCAGTTTTGTGCGTGCGTATGTGTGTGTGTGCGCGTGTAACAAATCGGCGCGCAGCGCCGCGAAATTTGGTATAACCTTTAGGTAGGTATACCTACCTACATCACTTGCGTAAAAATTATCACTGGTCACTTAAGGTCAGGTCGCCATGTCAAGTTCAGTTATACGGTATACCTACCTCTATCAAACTTTCCCCTCTCGCCATTCTTGTAGCTTCTCTCCCATAACTTCGAAATTTGGTACACTGTATACCTAATGTATGGGGTTTTACGTGTCAGCAATTCATGATTCTGAGGATTTACATCTATGATCTGGAGGCAGGTCAAATACGTGACCTCATCATTAGAAAATAATGAGAAATTAGAAAAAGCACGAATGCCTCCTGCTTTGAAAAAGTTCGTCAGAAACGCAAAATATCTTTGGAGCCATGACAAATCAGCTCATCATTGCCAGGGACAGGGTGCAACTTATGGCGAGTGATGACTCGAAAGGTGATTAGTGGAAATGTCCATCGATGGCCACCATCATTTTTTTTTTCTACAACTTTTGACGAAGACGCGGTAGAGCGATGACAGCACCTGGAAGGTGTTCACTGTTCAGCTCAACAACACGGATCCATTCATATGCAGCAGGAGGTCCTTTTTCGATCAGGACATAACGTTGACCTGAGGTCGTTTTAACGTTAATTCTGAATGGTCAAATTTTAACTCATGTTACGCGTCTCAAAGAGATAAACACGGTGGTGACAAGACAACATATCTAAATACCATACAAATTCACGGAATCTGATGACTTTATTGCAAAGCAAATGTTTCGGCAGAATCTGTCCAGTTAGCTGTTTGCCTTCTATGGGCAAAACATAGACCTGAGATGAAATCTGACGCGAAGCTAGCGAAAGAGCGTTGAAAGAGCTATCGAATATGTTTTCTGCTTCACTGTAGCCCTTCTATTGGTGGGTTCCCAGTCGCTAACGTATAACGTATACTAAAGTAACGCTGAGGTATGCTTTCGACCCCTGATCGATCTAGAGGTTTGCGAAAAAAGAGCATGCTGCCCGTGACGAGAGAAAGCCGATGATACCCATTTACAAGGTTTCGGGTCATCTCAGGACTCAGGTCATCGCCAATTTAAGTAGGGAAACTCGGGACCTGCTAGAACTTTGCGAATGTAAGTTGTGATGGTTTTTCGAGGTTCTGATTACGAATGTTATCTTAGTTTTGAACGAAGATGACTCCATGCATTTGGGGTAGATCAGGTCAGGTCAGATCGACCAGTACCTAATAGTGGATGACCACCACCGATTGCTTCCTAACATGTTATATGTATGATAAGCAACACAACTACTTCGTAAATGTTCAGATGGGCGCTAACTTCAAAATCAGCTCCAAAAACTATCCTATACCTAAATTAAAAGTATGTTATGAAAAAGTGAACCAAGGTCATCTTTATTTGAATCAAGGATATCAATTTATTTTTAAGTAGGTGATTAACTCGAGCGCACCGGAAGTTTCGTTGCAATCGGCTCCTTTTTGCGCGACTTCTTTGCGAAAGCCCGAGACGGTTTCATCTGACTCCCTTTCCCCTACATGTGCACTGTACGTACAGCTAGTTGTGACGGTAGCCATGGGGCTGAGGCTAGTTTGTAGTTTTGTAGTTAGGTACTGATCCGACGAATCGACTGCGACCATTTTTTTTTAACGATCAGACGAACGCTCGGGGCAGTTTTGGCGCGCCCAATCCTTTGAGGGATAAAAAGGTACTAGAATGGTGGCTACTTAGAAATATTGTTGTGCTGGTGTTCCCCACCCACAGCTAATTGAACTTTAGGTAATTGGCTAATTGGCTTTAGGGAGCTCTTCAAGCGATTCTGAATCTGATGTATTTGTTGGTGTTGCTGACGCCTGCTTCACTGACATAAAAGCTAAAAAAGCATACTCAGCATCGCAAAAAGTGGGTAGGTCGACACCCCCAGTTTTCAAGAGTGGGGGGGGGGGGGGTCACGACCCCCCCGACCCCCCCGTCGGCGACGCCCCTGCTGCGGTCACAGGGTTTCATGCAAACTCAAACCGAGGAACCGTAAAACTTGAGGTAACGGATAAGTTAACCGTAAACTTATCGAGTAAAACGTTATCATTTGTACGGCACTGCCTAGTTCTGATGCCTGAGCCCTGACGAGGATTAGCTAGCTTAAAAGCTGCAGCGATCATTTGCCAATTAGTAGCATCCAAAATGCGAATGTGCTTCTTGACTCTTCTCTTCGCCGACCGTAAAATAGCTTTAATTTCTGTGCATTCATAAGCATGGCATGACTAGCATTTGGTGACCATCGGGACGTCTCCGTACCAAATTTATCATCGCTCTGCTGGCTGCGTTCACTTTGCGTAGATATTCGCTATCCGACGCAGAATTCGATATACCCGGTGTTGGGCGCCGGATGCCGAGGTCCCCAGGATAACGCTCTGTATAGGTACCGCGGCCACACGAGCCGCTCCTGTCCTCGTCGCGGATATAACAGTGGCATACCGTGTTTAATCAGCTCCCCCGCTCTGCCGACAGCTGTACGTTCCTGAGCCGCAGTGCGCGCCGCGCCGGGTGACCGTGCACCCCGCGTCGGCACCGTCGTCGGCAGCGACGCTGGCCGAGTGCGAGCTGCGCTACCTGGGCTACATGTACCACGAAGTGCGGTACCGCGTCTGCGAGGCCGGCTGGTACCGCGTGCGCGTCACGCTGGGCGCCCACGCCGCCGATGTGGACGTGCTGGTCCGCGTCACGTCACGGCACAGTGACGTGACGTTACGTCAGAGCTGGCCGCAGGGACGTCAGGAGAACGACCAGACCAGTCTTCATTCGGAGTGACGAGCTGGTGTAAATTGAGTGGCGTGCACGTGGGTGGCATGTGTGGTCATTTAATGCGGGTCCGATGAGAATGGAAGGTAATTGATTATCGCGATGGAAATACTCGGTGTGGCTTCGATTGCTGCGGTGGCAGAAGCATCATTTTTTGCCGACGTGTTGGTTGGTATACCCATCGGCTTTTGTGCAGGCAAATGTCGGACATTTCTATATAGATCCACAATATTTGATGTGGTATCCGTCGAACACAATCGTGTAATCCGAATGTCAATCATCGACACAATTGTGGCATACAGAATGTAGGTAGGTATGCAGTAATGTAGGGTAGGTACGTGGAATGTTTTTCTCACCGTACTTAGTGACCAAGACGTCAGATACCGTCCAAATATCGTGTGTGCGATGCTCAATGGTGCCGTATAGGTAAGTGAATAACCGTTCATGATTTATTTTAGTGTTATAGTGCTGTTTGTGTGCTCGTTTTATCTAAACATACATCAGCCGTCGGGCAAGCAAATATGTGATTCATTGGTGACTACTTTAACGTAACTTGTTTATACACATAATCAGAAACATGATGTAATCATGTTTGTAATGTAATACAACGTAATTTAATTGGTGTACCTATGTGTTACCGTCGAAATGTTGAAGTCGGCTGATCCATTTGAATATGACGCATCATGTAAGCGGATCATCTCCTATATACTCAAGTCATAATTTTTATATATGTTCCAAGAGAAGTTCGTTGATGTGTGCCAATGTTAATGTGTTATACGCGAGCAATTGCAGTTTACACTTGGTCAAAGCTGATGAATGGATGTTTGTGCCATAATATATGTTTTCAGAGAGGAGAGACACACTTTCCATTGGAATGCCAGAAATATATGTGCTACTAATGACTACATATGGCATTCGGATGTCATTTGTTTGAACTGCCATTGCACAATTGATGCAAACTATAGTAAGATTCGGTATAGTATAGACATGTTTTTGATATTTTACTGGTTTCATAGTTGTAGCCACCTTAGTCTAGCATTATTTTGGTTTGGTTTCTCGATTATCTGAAATCGGCGTCGCAAAATGAGGTCGCTACCGCGCTGATGACGAACATTGCCCAGGTATAATGGTCATTAGGTCGGATAGAGAGCAATCAGACAGCTGGTTCTAAAGGACGCCTTTGTTCTGCAGCCTGCTAGCCCAGCTCGGTGCCGGTTTCGGTTAGGGCTGTGGGTCACGTGCACGGTCGGGCTGTTCGCCGGTCCGCGGCCGCCGCTGCCGACGGGGCCAGCCGCGCGCGTCCGGCGCCCTGTGTTCACTGTTCATCAGACACCACCCACGTGAACTGTGAAGAATACGGCCGGCGGCGAGGCGTGCTCCCCTGAATGGCGCCCGGTCGGCGGCCGTGCACCCTCCAAAGGCGCTGAATGACACTAATGACAGCGAAATCGTTAAATCTAATGGTTATTCACGTGGAAGACACCACTAGTGCGCTGCTAAACAGACCCTTGGCTCCGGTTCCTGAGTCCGAAACGAATAACGGCTGCAGTTGAAGTGTTTAGGTGAGTACCTAACACGCGACAAAGGGGAGCGCTGCGCTAATGATACCTTTTATTTTCGTTGATGATAGGTATACAGTGGTGACAGCAAGCAACCACCTGTTTTCCCGGCGCAAGATGTATGCTCATGACAACATATTCACAACGAGAGCAATAAGGATGCATCCAGATTAATTAACGGCTTTGTATTGGACCAGGTGAAATTATTTTGGGAATGGCGCAAATGAAAGTGACTTTTCTTTTCTATCGCTCACTGTATTTCCAAGCAACATATTTATCATCTCAAAACACATAGATACTCTGTATGCGACAATGCTACCGTGACGAACACAAGATTATCTGATTTAAACAGCAAACTCTTATCACTTCGGATAGGTAGGTACTAATTAATAAGTAGTCCAGCACTTTGTCCAGTGGGCCGATGGACTAGGCTGTCGTTTTATCCCGCCTTATGCTGGGTCGTAGTGTCGGACAAGTGATGTTGGCACGAATTCAGTTCGATGGCCCGACCACTGAGACCAGTTGGAATGTGCGGGCGGCACCAAGGGGTCAGCCGCGCGCACTATGGTTGGAAACGGCCTCACGGATGGCCGGGGGTCAACGCGAAAAAATGTTTTGCCCATAACTTGTTAATGCGTAGACCGACTGCGATGAAACTTTGCATAGGTATACCAGTGTCTTTCGCGCATCATACAGTAACTCAGAAATGACGAGGTCACGTCACGTCACGCGTGTGTGACGTCATCATTGCAAGTATGTTATAAGTCGCCTATGTCTTTCGTTATGTTATCGATATCGCGAGGCATTTTGAACATGTTTTGAATACCTACTGCTATTACTGAATGGATATTGTTGTTATGCTTTAGGGCGAGAAATATCAACGTAGTGACGCACAGTGTCTTACTATTGGTCATAAAGGGTCAAAAATTTGGAGAAAGAGTATTTATGATTTTTTTAGATTGGGCAAAAAAGTAAGAAATAAAATGACGATCAAATGACAAAACATGCGTCAGATTAACCCGGCACCGGGTTAATCTACCCAATTACCCCATTAACCTGGGGTATTTACCCCATTAACCTGGGGAAATACCCCATTAACCTGGGGTATTTCCCCATCCGCCGTTTGCCGGGGGGGGGGGGGCGTTCAACGCCCCCAGCCGATAACTCGCGAACAAATAGGCGCAGCGAAACGCACGAGGCGCGGCAAACGAAAGAAGAACGCGACGAGACGATTCACATGAATATTTTAAAGTTGAATTTCGAGGTCACAGGTCGGGTCAAGGTCAGGTCAAACACTTGAAATCGGGCTTTCAGTAGCATGGCATGGACTTAAGAACCTCGCAATCGGTGCCTCGCGTTTCGCGTTTCGATTATATCGTCATCAGTTGGTCCTAAATAAATTCAGTCATCAGTTGGTCCTAAACAATCTGTCACAACTGTCACAACTGTCACAACCCTTCATATAAGTGCTAAAAGAGTGTCAGATCAATGTAGGGGTCAGTCAAACATAGGCCACTGGCCAGGGTCAAAGTCAGGTCAATCAGGTAAGCACATAACCCCGAAAATTAAAACTGGTAGGTACCTATTCGCAGCCCATGCATGACACATGTTTTATGGGTACTTTTGGGTGTAGAACACGATGGTGACATTCATTTTATCATACGAGTACGTGGCTGGTCGAAAAAAGATCAATTCAGAAATGCATGCATCATGGTCGCGAGAAATTGCCAACATTCAGTTCAAGATTTTGGAAAATGTAGAACGATGCTCAAAAACCATAGATAGCCATTTGATTTGCCATGGTATTGGCAGTGTAATGGCGTTTACAGCATGTCTGTATGTCTGCTCTGTCGGTGGATATCCATATCCATACTCCAGGATATCCATACACGTTTGCACGATATCCATACTCCAGGTGCAGGGGCGAGCAGTTACTTCTTACAAGGGGTGCGGAGTCGAAGTCAGAGTCGGAGTCAGAGTCGGAGTCGGAGTCAGAGTCGCCCAGAGTCGTGGCAACGAGCCAGGAGTCGGAGTCGGAGTCGGGGTCGGTCAGGAGCCCGCAGTGGAAGTCGGAGTCGGTCCGAATCGGAACAGCTCCATCACGACTCCGAAACACTGGCCGGGGTCCGGAGTCGAAGACAGAGTCGGCCGGAGTCATGGCAACGAGTCAGGAGTCGGAGTCGTAGTCGGAGTCGGATTTGGCGCCACCACGACTCCGCAACCCTGCTTCTTACCACCATTTATAAGGATAAGCGATTGCAAGACTGACGAGCCGACCTGGTGCTAACGAAGCGACGGGTAGGTACGCCTAGGGAGATGAAGCTTCACGGACGATTTTGCGCACAAGTGCGCAGTCTGCTTTTACGTTCCCTTTACGCAGAATTGAACAGAGATTTATTCTGCCAAAAAGCTCAATGGAGGTCGATGGAGAACTTTTTGTATGTCCAATGAAACATAAACGTAATTTTGCAAATATTGCTGTGGTGACACTGCAAACAGAATGCAATGCCGTTCCTGATTTTGAACACGCATGGGAAAAAGACTCACTCCACTTGATAGCCAACATAACAAGGATTATTTTGATATATAATAATCCAGTTTTACAACGTCATGGAGGTACTCCACATGCTATCACCAGCGCGGTTGTTTAAACCTTTGACGGCGCACCAAAAAAGCCACTATCAGAAACTCCCGATTCCACGTACAATAATGGAGACTAAATGCGCAACTAAATATTTTTTTCTGCCCAATTCAAAACATTTCATCAATTTCCAACAGAATGGCATCCCAAATATACATATATTCCGAAATTGCCCACGGCCATCCGTGAGGCCGTTTCCAACCATAGTGGCGCGGTCCAGTGACGCGGTTCACTGGGTTGCCGCGAGATGGCAGGCCTGTCGGTGCCGGGCTACCGGGAGGTGTCTGCGGGCGCTCACGGGGTCACCTGTTCACCGCTGACGAAGCAGACGACTCAAAAGGCTGGGCTCCTCCTGAAACACCAGTTGTCAGGTGAGATACTAACTAGCTGATATATGTACGAGAGAGAGAGAGAGTGAGAGAGAGAGAGAGGGAGAGAGAGAGGGAGAGAGAGAGAGAGAGAGAGAGAGAGAGAGAGAGAGAGAGAGAGAGAGAGAGAGAGAGAGAGAGAGAGAGAGAGAGAGAGAGAGAGAGAGAGAGAGAGAGAGAGAGAGAGAGAGAGAGAGAGAGAGAGAGAGAGAGAGAGAGAAGAGAGATACAAGGATCGCACACAGAGAAATATTGAGCGATGTCAAGTTCAATATACTCGTAAATAATTCAAATAGCTTCAAAGTTCTGCTTCACTTAGTAAAATATCGTTAGTTTAAGTACTTTCGTGATAACTAAGCAAGGTATCCGTTGCACAACGCCACAATAAGTAAAGGCATCAAGAATAAGTTTGTTTTTATACGACGTTCATTGGTTAACTAACAAACATCGGCAGTTTTATTACACCACACAAGCATCTTTACGCAAAACAGGATAATGTAACAGCATAACAGATGTTCAAATACCTAACTGATATGTTTCTATGCAAAGCAAGTGTATCCATACGCGAATGAGTGTTGTGTCGCAGTGATAATTGCGGTACACATCCAGAGCACCGTTCGTTTACGTCGACCCGTGTAAATTTAGCGAAATTTTGAGCTCACGCTGACGGCGGCGGCGCCATTTTCGCAATCTGTCAGTTGTGCGCCGGGGACCGCGGGGGCCGGCGGGGGAGTGTTGTGGCTGCAGTGCGCAGAGTGAGTTTGCCCATTCTTGTACGACCAGTGAGATAAAACAGTGCTGTGGTGTTTATCTAGTTGGATAATAAGCTGAATACTGCTTTGTGAAATACTGCTTTGTGGTCATCGTCTGATAACTGCAATCAAGACCAAGTCTGAAATCTGAAGCGGAGCGACATTAGAGGAGCTGCTGGAAATTATCCAGCTTTGTCGGAGTGCTAAGGTGGGCTTGCAATTTTTCAACTGAACTGCTGTCGTGTTATGAAAATAATGGATGCGCTTTCATGCTTTTCTATGGTTGATTAGGTAGAGTTAAACTAATATTTTGCCAGATAGGCAATAGAGAGCCGGTGGCTAATTAAATGAACGATAATTTTGGCACAGTGAAGCAGTGCCTACAGATGATATATTTTTCATTTATTAAATACGGGCATGGCTGACGGGAGACGGGCGGTGGCTGAGGCCCGTAGCGGCGCCTATGCGTTGTGAAATATCAGCTTATGTATATGATAAGGTTATGCTTTTGCGCTAATCTAACTGATTTCCGTCAGATGTGATGTCGAATTTTTAAATAAACGACAAACAAACAAATAAACGTGTTTGCAGCATGGGGTAGGCATTGAGCATCACAATGTTTCGTTCCATTTCGCTAGGCTCGCGGCTGGCGACAACGTCCCGCCGCGTGTCGCTTGCTTCACAAATTTTGCCGGCCGAACATTAGTTTTACCAGAAAAAAATCGTTAAGATAACCGTCATATTTGTGTAAATTTACCGCCATGAATTTGTGTACGATTACCACGCGAGTGTTCCTTTTGGTACTTTTTACCAAAAACACATATTTGTGCGTAAATGTAACGCGAGATCCGTGGTAAGGTTACACTGAAAGCGGTTCTCCTACACAATAGTGAAACACTCCGATGCTAGCAAAACACACATATAAGTGTTCTTTTAGCCAGGAAACAGAGTAATTTTACACACAAAAAATGTTCCTTTTGGTACTTTCAATTACACCGTTTTTCCGCTCAATATTTCTGTGTGTGCGTGCCTCAGATTCATTGGATATTGAAGGCCAAAGGGAAAACAAAAACAAACACCTGTTAACCCGCGCCGTGCTGGTGGCCTGAACTTTCCGCCGAGTGCTGGGGGGGGGGGCGTTTTCACGCCCCCCCGTCTAACTCGGCTCCTGGGCCACGTAGCGACACGCGGTAAGCGGCAATCGAAAGAGCGTCAAAAATAAAGACGAAAACACTTCGGTCATTTTTTGGGTCAGGTCAAAGGTCAGGTCACCAGAGGTCACCAAAGGTAAAATGTTGACTATTTCAACATTTTGGAAACTGCCAACGGCTATCTCGGGAACCGATAGAGCTACAGCGCCGCGGAAAAGCGCATTCGATAGCCCTTTTACAGACCTTTCTGAGTAATGTTCTCAGATTTGACCTCAGGTCAACGGTTTAGCCTCCAGAGGGCAAAAACTCCAAAAATAGCCGTTTTTACGAAAAACGTTTTTTCGTCAATAACTTTTGACTCATAAGCGCCATGACATTACTTTTGCCAGCATCGTGTTCCTCTCGTCGAGACGCGTCGAATGAACTATTCGTTGACCTTGAAAGGTCATTTTGAAAATTTGACCTCAGGTCAAGGTCATGACCTGACCGAAAAGGGTCATGTTGCATATCAGTCGATCCGTATCGTCGAGCTGAACACATCTGACGTGTTTTCACCGCTCTAGCACGTCTCTATCAAAAGTTATAGCCAAAAAACTGCTGGCGACCGTTCATGACCTGAGATGACCTCAGGGGCACACAGAGGGGTCACAGGTGCATTTTTCCTATTCAGTGTGTCATGTTTACCTATGAACCGATGTTTGAGAGCGTTTTGAACGATATTCGTCCAAAAGAGGCGCATTTCAATTTTCTCCCATTGACTTATAATGGAGAGGTCGCAAAATTGACCTGACCTTAGGTCACAGATATCAAAAATCCGAGATATACATTTTATACATACTGTTACTCATATCAATCGCTGAAAGTTTCAAAGTGATCGTTCAGTCGGTGTAGTTATAGCGAGCCTTTGAACTTTTTCTGAGGTAAGGTCACTTGACGTGACCTGGTGACCTGACCTTGAACGGCCTAGGTCTGAAATTTTCACAACATGTGCGGAAATGATGTAGGAACACGTGTACCAAAAACGGCGGCGCTGCGCGCCGCCGTTTTTGAGATATTCGCGAAAAACCTGAGGGGGGGGGGGCGTAAAAACGCCCCCCCCAGCACGGCGCGGGTTAACCATATGATAACAACCAACATTAACAATAATATGATAATCCTACGAAGAAAATTAGCCTCTACAGCCTTTCAACGAGTTATATTGAAGCCATGTTTGGAAAAGTTCAGGCACTTCCACCTGCAGAAGATTAAACTCTAAAGAAGGGCAAAAATGAGACAGAAGCACTTGTGTAGATACGTTGTGGGAGCGTCAGCTTCAGTAATAGAGCAGGTTTTGCCGTCAATGGAGGAAGTTTTGGTGCCTTGCGATTTCGCGAAGTTCCACCTACCTCTGAGTAGCCTGCCCGACTTGCGAGGGAGGTCCGCTTTCCAAACCTGAGGCAGCAAATTGTGGCAATGTTGAAAATAGAATGTCGTTGATAGACATAACATACTGATTGAAAAACCGAAATGCATTATTAGTAAACAAAGCGCCAATAGTTGCACATTTTAATCTAAGTGTTGCAATGAAATAGTGAAGGTGAACATATAGGTTATGTAAATGCACATTACATAAGGCAGCTATGAGTGCAAACCCGTATAATGTGAGGAGTGTCTACACCTTGTTAGGCGCAATTTAAAAAAGTTGACGATCAAATTTAAAACGCTCACATGCATTTTAAACGTAAATTTTCTGAATATGGCCTTCAACTTTTTGAAATTGTGCCGATTGCGCCTAAAAAGGTGTAGACAAAGATTAGCGACTTCAGAACGACTTTGAACCAACAACACATGCAGTGTTTCAGAGGAAATGTTTATAGGGATAGCAAGAAAGGAGTGGTGCAGTGATGGAGGTTCCATACAGCTATAGACGACTTTTCGTCTTGAAGACGATTGAAAGACTAAATTGAAAGATTGAAAGACCATTGAAATGCCAATGGCAGGATGACATAATTTGATCACAGAATACGTTTGTATCTGCTCTAATGCCCAGGAGGTTTAGGCAAAAGTAAACTCAAATTAAAGTAACTAATAATATGCATAGTGCCTCAGTATGCACTATGCAGTCTTTGCAGTAAGTTACTTCGAAAAATCCGGTGACTCCATTGATATTATGAAACAATAACTGATAATCAATGATGCAACAGATTTGGGCGGTCACGTCACAAAACGCTATTACGAGAGACTACTGAAGTCTGATGCGGTTCGCGTGGGGGTCAACGGCTGGGTGGCTGGCTTTTTAGGAACATGACAGCCATTTTTCTAGCAGTCATTGCGGCCGTTCGGATGCGCTGTGTTATTAGGGCTACTTTTAGACAGGGGTCTTTTATTATCATTAGCAGCGCTCTGAAACCTGCATCGCTTGCGGATGTCGCTCGTTTGAAGTTGAAGAGAAACATGCATCATGCTTAGCATATTTCAGGGAGATGTTCTGTTCAGAAAATGGCAAGCCTGCTGGGTACACATTGGGCTGTCTGCCATCATTTAATTAAAAGCACTAATCCACTTAAACGTCAGATTTGAATTAAAACTACAAAGATGTGTGTCAAGTCAACATGTTGCCATTTGAAATTTTCTTACATATGATATTTGCACAAATTTGAATATGCGGCAAAAGTCAACAGCTACGAGTTCTTATCGCATATTGCGCTGAAAATTCTAAGTTTTTTTTTACGGCTTGGTAGATCAAAGGCATTTCAGGATAAAATGAAACTCGTCAGGTCATAGTCAATGATTATTCAATTGTATGCAAAAATGATCACGGCTTCTCATTTTCTGCACCAGCACTACAAGTCGCACGTTTCAGGTCAGATTATTTTTGGCAACATGATTCAATTTGCAGACATTGCCAACATCGGTTTCTTTAAAAAAATCCTACCTCGTTTTCCAAATAAGGTCGGTATTCATCTGGCCAAAAAAGCACTAACATTGTTGAATTTAACAGCAAAAATGAGTTTACATCTAGAAGACCGATGGCATTCCCATGAAAGTACGCCTGCAGGGTGTCGACAGTCACTGTCGCCAGACGTTTCTACCGGAGGGGTCAGCGCCAACCTACCTAGGTCGATACCGATGTGCATACTGTTCGTCGATCTTTCGGAGCAGCTCGTAGTGCTTCGGTTTAATGTCGCTGTCGCGTTTCTCCGGGCGTGCGAGACCGGTCGCTGGACTGCCAGTGCAGAATGGACACAGACGACAATCAACAGAGGAGCAGGCAAGACGGAAACGGAGACGGAGACGGAGACGGAGACGGAGACGGAGACGGAGACGGACACGGAGACGGAAACGGAGACGAAGACGGAAACTGGACTGGCTAGGGATGAAAGCTGGACTGGCGCATGGATGGGAACTGGACTGAGACAGGGACCTGACCTGGATCGGGACGGCAAAGACTGACCTGAGACGCAGACAAAATTGGATTGGATGTGAATTGACGTTTGGATATTATTCTTAGGCAACTACAGCTGATGCTGGGACTAGGAAGCACAAGGGGGCAGAATGGGGATACTTGGGACGGATCCGCGCCAGGGACACCCGAAGCGATATCGCAGCGTGGCGGGGAGAGAAGGTCAAGACTGGAGCTGATTGGCCGAGATCTGAGGCCAATAATACCAACAGAAAAATAGCCGCCTGCCGGAATTTTTTACCTAAAGACCGCTTCACATACGGAGCGTAAACGGTAAAGCCCTATCCGCTATGTGCCCATCGCGTCTACGCTTTACATGTGAAGCGGTCTTTAGGCAAAAAATTCCGGCAGGCGGCTATTTTTCTGTTGGTAAAACTGGCCTCAGATCAGAACTTAGAAAATGAGGATAAGGATTAATAAGGATTTTTGGAATTAATTGAAATGAATAGATAATAGTAAGACGGTATACCAGCTGGCCCGCTTGAAAACGACATACTCTGTCTCTTAGTGCCTTCGGGGCCATCCAAATACGTCTTTTTCTAGTTTTTTTTTTCTCAGAGGACTTTTTTTGCAATGACCATTGACCCTAAGCACTTTGACCTTTTCCAACGTAGAACCGTGAGTGACTGCGTGATAGAGCCGACTTGCCCGTTCGCCAAACCTATAGGTGGCCACTTGAGCGACACTTTATGGTATAGCCAAGCCACCTGGGCACCGTCATCCTGATCCGATCCGATCCCACCTCAAGAGACGATCTGCCAGAAAACAAAGCTTTTCTAGGTGCATTTTATCTTCAGCAGGGAACCAACATGCTTATTGCTTATGCGGAGTAAACTCCACTTCCACTGGCGTCCAACTGGCGTCTAACTGAGCAGACGTCCAATTGTTGGCGTCTAGTTTGGCGTCTAACTGTTGGGTGGAGACTTCCAAACTAGACGCGTCCAAAGTTAGCCGTCGCCAGATAGACGCAGCCGCCGTCCAGCTATACACGTCTAAGACTTAGACGCGTCTAGCTAGACGCGAAATGGGAGTCTCCACCCTACATATATCATTCCTTTAGAATTTTAGGCAAACCTATATTCATAATAAGAGATATTAACCCTCGCCCGCACATGCCATTTTCCCATCCTAGAACGCACATGGGGGGGGGGGGGTTGCCACCCCCCCGCGCCATTTCGTTCCTGTTGGAGATAGAGCTTAGCGGTGAAGACCAAAAAGATTCTTTGGGAAGAGAAAAATCCAATGATACCCAGTTTTACCTTCTCAGGTCAGTCATTGACCTTCCAGGTCAGGTCAAACTAAGAAATGTTGCTGTTTTGGGTCACCGTTGGATATCAAGTGCGCTGCTTATCAAATACCGATGACGATGCTGTTTTCTGGTGCCAAGCCAGCTAAAACCTCTTTGTCACACTACCCGACCAGAATTTTGCTGCTGAGGTCATTTCAGGTCAAGTTAGGTCAAGGTCAATTATATGTGTTTGTATGTCTGTGTGTGTCTGTGTGTATACTGATGTGTGCACTGATTGTTTTTGGGTCCATATTACATGAAATCATGATCTGAGAAGCTTTGACCAAAAATGCAGTAAAAAAACTTCACAAAAAGTAAATTCAGTTTGCCTAAAACGCAATTATCTTAGATGACCCAGGTTGACCTTGACCCTGACCTTGACCCCTGTACATCGTCGAACAACATGTTCCATGATAGGTGGGAGGTAAGACTGGCAAAAAAGGCCGAAATCAGGGTGTCAAAAGCTCACAAGGCCCATGGCAAACGCAAGATGTTGAGAATTGGCCATTTGGGTCATGACATGACCTGAAAAACAAGGTCATATCTCCGAAACCAAAGATCACAGAAACTTTAAATTTTCAGTGGACATCAAGAAAGGATAGACGAGCAGCTATACGAAAAATCAGCCTTCTAGCTTTAAAAATGTTGAGTGCAGAGCAGAAAGACTACCTGGGGGGGGGGGGTGGCAACCCCCCCATGTGCGGGCGAGGGTTAACCTTACTCTCATATTAGCCAAAAGATGTAAAAATTCAAAAAGACAAAATACAGTTTCGGGAGCTTTCGGCTTTGCGCCTTTATCAACCCGCCTTTGCGCCTAAGGGGTTGATAAAGGCGCAAAGCCGAAAGCTCCCGAAACTGTACATATACCTATTGTCTTTTTGAATTTTTATATCTTTTGGCTAATATGAGAGTAAGGTTAATATCTCTTATTATATTCATGATGTCTCTCAAAACTATGCTAAAAACCATTCAAGACAAACCTATATTCAATGAATTTACCCCTGTCAATTTGTTTTACAACTTGTAAGGAAAATAAAGAGTACCTATTGTTTTTTATTGTCAAAATGATGTAAATCAAATCAGTCAAGCTGCCACACATATCCATTGCACAATAAATATTTGATAAGTGATTCATGGAAAGGTCTGTAATAACTTCGAACCTCGACGCATGGATCATTTGTTGGAACTTGGAAAGGCCACTTGATAGAACTGTGACATGCGATGTACAAAATCGCCAGTAAATGGTTGATCCACAGCCAACGATAGACGAGCTCAACAACTGCATGCCCATATGAAAAAGATAAATGTAGTAGGTAATAAAATGATGACTAGCCTAACTTTCGAAGATTTAGAATAAAAGACCTCAATTTTAAAGAAATTATAACAAGGTATCTTCAAACAACAACATATTAATGTGCCACAAAAAAACTTGAGTTTCCTCATTAACCCGCGCCCAGATGGGGTCTGCCGAGCAACGTGGTCTGATGGGGGGGGGGGGGGCCATTTTGGCCCCCCCCTCAGATCTCGAGAACCACGCAACATAGCGACAAGCGGTAAACGGTGTTGGATAGCCCCAACGGAGAACTACCTTGTGACCCAATTTCATTGACCTCGGTCAAACCGATGACGTCACAGGTCAGGTCAAAGGTTGAATTTTCACCGTTTACAGGCATTTCAAGAAATGCGTTGTAAAATCGTGTAAAATGCATTTCATTGAAAATAATCGATGGGGAAATGTTCTTCAAACACATATTTTGCTATTTGAGGTCACTGATACCAGGTCAGGTCACAGAGGTCAGGTCACTGGGGGGGTCACAATATGAAAGTGTCGTGTGATACATGTTTTATGGTCCATTTTACATGACAAATGCGATTATGTGGGTCAGACAGACTTTAGGGCCAGCTTAGGTCACGTTTTGGTCAAGGTCAGGTCAAGGTCAGGTCAAGGTCAGGTCAAATTAGGTCAAATTTCAAAGTTGATATTTTTGCATAAAATGGGTATCGATTCGATGCAGCTCGTCACGGGGAGTTCAATGGTGGCCTCCGTTTTGCGCTACGAGCTCTAGAATTGCTAAAAATTGAGTTCAAAAATTTGACGTCATCAATTTTTAACAGTTTTTTCGCTATAACTTGGCCAAAAAAAGAGGTATCGATCTAAAATTTGGTATGTATATCGAAGAGCGCAGGGACTATCACATATATTCCGGTTTTTTCGAAATTCGAAAATTTTTTGGAAATTTTTTGAGTTTTTCTAAAAAAAATCAATTTTTTTGATTTTTTGGGGTCAAAATCCCAAAATTTCGAAAATCCGAGATAGCAGTTTTGTAGCGACGTGTTTTCTCTACACAACCACATAAAGAACTTTAAAATTGCTTGTTAACTGTAGAATTGGTGAGCGTTTCAAGATGTCATGTTTTTTGCTCATTTTTACTCGAACATGACCTCAGTTTGACCTCAATAACTCCTGACCTGAGGTGACCTGTGACTTGAAATTTTGTGTGAAGGTGTCAAATTGATGCCCGGTAAGGTAACCAAAATTTGGCGGCGCTGCGCGCCGCCGTTTTCTCGCTATTTAAGAAAAACCACAGGGGGGGGCCAAAATGGCCCCCCCCCCCATCAGGGCGCGGGTTAACCCTCGCCGGACCTATTGGTTTTCTACATATACGCGCCAGCCGAGGGGGGGGGGGCGGTTACGACCCCCCCTCGCCGTTTCGCCCTTGGTGGAGCTAGCGCGTCGCGGAAAAAACGAGCGTGTGTGCTGTTACAAGACGCAGAGATTGATACCCGATTTTAAGGTCCTAGGTCATCGGTGACCTCTGAGGTCAGGTCAAGTGCCCCAAGGTGTGGTTCCGTTTTTGGTGAATAACTTCGCAAAAAACGGCCGCAGAGCCACGATTTTGACAGCATCGTGCTTGTCTCGCTCAGGCGCGTCGAATGATCTACTTTTTGTTTGAACGAGGTCAACTTAGGGTGTTGACCTCAGGTCACGGTCAGGTAAGAGCCCCCAGGTCACGAAATTGGTTGAAAGAGGTCATGTTGCATATCATTCGATTCGGCAGGTCTTCCTGAGTCCTTTGGTGGCCTTCGCGACTCGCTAGCTCAATTTGATCGGAAGTTATTGACGAAAAACTAATATGACCCTGATGACGTCATAAATGACATCACACAAGGTAAACATTGCAAAAGTGACGCATCAAACCTTGCAAGGAGTGCATCAAATCACGATTCTGTGTGCTTGAGATAGCTGGAGATCGTTCCCGGCGCCAGAATAGCAGTTTTTATTTTCCCCGTAGATTTATAATTGTGAGGTCACGAAAATGACATGACCGCATATGACCTTTAGGAAAATCCGAGATATACAAGTTGTAAGACTCGAAATGAATACTAGATCCTGCAAGTTTCATTTCCCTGTGAAAGCTCCTCTGGCAGTGAGGGCGTTGCGAAGTTGCGACATCTGAAGACCGGGCAGAGGTTCACTTATGACGTCATAGGTCAGTGACCTGACCTGATCCGAAAATGCGGTTGGTGTCGAAAGATCAAGCATGAACCAAAGATCAGGTATGTCAAGTTTCAGCTCTCTATCGCCAGCGTGTTTGGACCTATCGCGAAAAGAACCCTATGGAGGCGGCACCCGCCGCCCCCCCCCCCCCCACCCCTCCTGGGCTGGCGAGGGTTAATCTGATCAGAAAGGTAAAGCTGCCTCGTTCTGATTCTTATTGATGGATGCAGGAACCTATTGCATTGGATGAAACTTTGTTGCATATGAAGTACAAACCTACTATCGACGATATGGATGTAGAGTTCGAGTGAAAGAAATCAATACCTTGTTATGCCCAGACGCAAACCATTGTATTTCAACCCTCCATATCAATTCAAATTCGCTTAAAATGAACACCACAGCTTGACGTCAAGCTTGTTTTGATCAGAAACACTATTTACGTGTAACTACTTTGAAGAGAACTGCGTGCAACATTTTTCCCAAATAGAAAAGTAAATGAACCGCCAAAGCTGATTGGCATATGTAGAATTGACTTTCTGTGTGAATGGCACTGGCCAGCCTTCGAGGACGGGGTGGCTGGAAAACTAGGATATGAGCGCGTTGGTACGTCTTTGTTGTCAATTCCTGGGTCAATACCGCATGAAGGGTAAAGGTAGGGCAGGCTGGATATGGCTGTGCTGGAAACTTTGGTGCAGAATTAGGCTGAGATCAGGCTCTTGGGCATGCGTAGAAAAACTGTGATAATTATAGTATGTTCACATCGATAATGGATATAGTGTTAGCATTACACTGTGGGGAACTATTGCAAACTGTGAACATGCACATTGCTCAATGTTCATCTCGCATGATATCCAAGACGATGTGCAGTAGTAGTTCACTGGATCACGCAGTTTCCAATGAGCATGCACGAGTCTGTAGACTGCAACAGATTGTCCACAAACAATTTTCGTACAACGGCTTCAGTTTAGCGATAACTGAAGCCTGTAAAGATGTTCTGTACCGTGTTTTATGGTGACAATTAAAAACGTGTCTCAGAAAATCATTTCAAAGACTTACGCATCCTCCAAAATTATACATGCATGCGAATCCAAATGGCTGTTGCTCTTTTCTTCCCTTACCTCGGTCTGGAGAGTTTTGAGTAGAAGTCGTCAAGCTCTTGAAGCATGTGAAGCGTTTTCACCATGCTCTTCTCTTTGTCTCTGGTGAGTCGAATCATGAGCTCATCCTCTGGCTCTTGGACGAGCTGTGCGAGCGCCAGTGATGACAGCATGACCGTCAGCAGCAATAGCACTAGCTGAACACGAGACATGACCTGTGAGATAGACAACACCACTCCGTCAGCAGCGGCAGCAGCAACAGCGACAGCTGAACACGCGACATGACCTGCAGGAGACAGAGATACCACACCGTCAGCAGCATCAGCAGCAGCACCAGCTGATTTTTATTTAAAAAAAAGACAAATAGCTGGTTTGTCGTCACCTGCCTCTGTGAAACCATATGTTGTTTGTGTTTTGACGCCAACAGCTCCACTTTCCAAATGAAACACAATCGATTATCTGATCAGTTAAACGATTATCAGTAAACGCTCGCACAGTTGAGCAGTTGGTGCTGCTGCTGATGGAGCACAGCACTGTGCTGCAGCCGAGTCTTTCTATTATGCTGGTCTACTTAGGTTACCTACCAGCTATGACCGGACGAAACATCCATCCATTGCCCGTCGTCAGCCCATCCGAAAAGATCGCGGCATTTCTCCATTCGTCGAAATTGAGCCGCGTGCTATGGCGATTGGCCAGTCAGGGTGAGCTGCAGGTCGCGCGTCGGGCCCATGCAGTACATCTCTGGTGCCGGCTAATGGCTCCCACTGCGAGTCGGCACCGCCCGCACACCACATGAATCTCCAATTTAGAGAGCTCGCTTCTCGGTGCGACCAGCCGTCAGGTCAGCTCTCTGCAAGGTAGTCTGAATAAGTGCGCTTTTCTCTGTACTGAACTTATCCTATACTATTGAGGACAATGTACAGCGAGCAGCCTTCATAGCACTAGACTTTATTCGCTTCTTAGTGTTGGCGTTATTGGTACATATGCCGACACAGTGTAAATAAAGACCCAAAAAGACCCGAGGTAAGTTAGGAATGTGTTCACCTTTCATCTTGATACACCGCCTGTAAAACAGTGTTTATGTTCTGCTCAAAACGTCTTATCTGGAAAGGCTAACTGTAGTTGCGGGGCATTTTCTGAGAGTTGTATTGTAAGACATTGCACTGTCTGTGAATCCCACGAAAAGCGTTTTCCAGCGAGCTAAGGCACTCTTTCTCAATTTACATGCTTTAAGAGATCATTTGAATGCATATTACCAAAGGGTCAAGGGATCAATGGGACCTTTTCAAGAATACCTCAGAATGAAGCCAAATTCATTCATGTGTATGTATAGTTTTCCAGAAACTATTTATGGCGTCATTCATAAGTGTTGCTCGATAATGTTAGCGCCGGGTGTGTCCTGGACAGTACCTGAGCTCCAGACCACATGAGGTTCGATTGATTTACCAGTATTTTATATTTCGATGAAAGGTTAGGTTTGGAAATATAAATTCATTGACCTATGGTGGGTGACTCAGTCTGCACTTGCAGTCGCTCTGGGTGAGGTTAAGAACAGGTAATACAATCGGCTCTTATGGCATTGTAAATTGGAATTTTCCACAATCTCGCTGTCAACGAAATTGAACCGAACAATTTCACACATTTGGAGCCTGCTGTAAATCTGACAGAGCTTGGTCGTGCGTTTCAATGCCGAGCCCATTCAAGTGCACCCGACATGGAATTGGACAGCGCCATTTTTCCAGGATGCCTCAACGCAGTAGTTATTCCTTTGTTACAACTGATTATATTATACCTAAATGTGTGGTGCATGAATTGTATCTAAACGTAATTGTATCATTCTTCAAGAAATCCCGAACAATTGATAGGTATGCTAGCAAAATCGCGCCTGATTTTTTTTTTTTTGTTCAAAGCTTATGACTTTGCATGACCTGTTTTCTAACAAATCTCGACTTTTTTCCTCAAAAATAAGATCCCATTGAGGGGTATAACTCATCTTACTCAATGTCACTCATCATAGGCATCCCACCAAGTTGTCCGCTGTCCAGGTCCCTATGAGCGCCCGAGTCATACCTACACGACCTGGTGTGTGGGTCTCTCCTAGAAATGATATTTATTGACCGATGTAGATTTAAAAATATTTTGGTGTAATTTTTACAAGCCTTGAGACTTTATATAGCACGCAAGGACGGAAAATCTGATGAAATGGATGTGCCTATAATACGATGCTATTGAAGATAATACTTTCTTGAAGAGATGAATGCAGTATTCAATTGTGCATACACAAGCGTGCTATTAGATTACACGGCAGTCGTATCACCCATTTAACCCTCGCATGTGTGCGGCGTTTGCCAGCTTCTAATGTGTAGGGGGGGGGGGGGGGGGTCGGTTGGACCCCCCCCTTGCCGTTTGGCCCCTGATCGAGCTAGAGCTTCGCGGAAAAAAACGAGCGTGTTGCCCGTGACGAGAGGAAGCCGATGATACCCAATTTTAAGGTCCTAGGTCATTGGTTGACCTTCCAGGTCAGGTCAATGACCCAAAGTCGGGAAAATCGGGACCTGTTAGAAAGTCGTAAAGTGTGGCTCCTAAGGGGTTTTTCGGGGTGCTGATCACGAATATCGTGTTAGTTTTGATCACAGATGATGTCTTGAAGCATTTAGACCAGGTCGGGTCAGGTCAGGTCAGGTCAACCAGTAGGCGTCGTGACGGGTATTCGTAGTACGTGTCAACCGCCTCTGACAGCTTCGTAACATGTTACGAAGTCACCAAAACTACTTCGTAAATGTTCAAAATTCAAATGGTTGCTAAATTCGAATTCAGCTCCAAAAACTAGCCTAGAAACATGTATAACTCGAAAAAGTGAACCGAGGTCACCCGAGGTCACCAAAGGTCAATGACCTGACCTGACCTTCAGGTGACCTTGACACACACGGGAGTAACATCAAATCACATGTTTGAACGTTTGAAACCACGAAAAGCTTGCAAACACGCGGCTAGTGCGAGCCGACATACGCGAAATCGCGATTCCGGCCAAACATGGTCTCGGAAAAGAGGTCACAGGTCAAAGGTCATTTGGGTCAGGGTCATGAAATTTTCAGGGTAGGTGTAAAATTGATCAATGCGAGGGTACTGAAAGTTTCGTCGCGATCGGCCGCTTTTTACGCGAGTTATTCGCGAAAAACCATGGGGTGGTCCATCCGACCCCCCCCCCCCTACACATGCGAGGGTTAATCGAGCTCGTATAGGAGTTGTAACTCAAAACACATCAACAGAAAGATGGGAAATAGCGAGACCAGCCACGATCGAGAAGACACACGGTCTTAGCGCGACCCTGCAGAATGATTCATTTGCTTATTACATGCTCCTTCGGTAGTCGTTAAGTTCACGTCAGGACAATATTGCGCCGAGAAATGTTGGCAGTTGAAACAGGTCGTGAGCCAAACCAGAGATTAATGGCTGACTATTCCCATCTGTCCGTGCGTAACTTGTCGCCTGAAGCTAGACAAGGCTGACTAATTTGTACCTAGAGTGCCCAATATTCTTATGCATAGATATTTCCAGCGAGGAACCAGAGCCTGAACGGAAAAAGGCAAACCCCACCAGACATAATTAGACAAAAGGATATGTAGGACCTTGGGCAAAAGTATGTACGCATATGTAAGTGCAGGAGACATGATATGAAGTTCTGCTTGGATCTGTTGCCGTTGCCTGTTCAATTGTTCATATCTTCCAAAAGAACCGTCGTGTCTGCGCCAGTTCCCTGTTTGGGTCTGTTTCAGTACCCTGTTCGGGTCTGCTCCGGTGCCCTGTTCGGGTCTGCTCCGTTGTTCTGCATTATGGGTCTGTTCCATTGTCCTGTCTGGGTCCGTTTCAGTAACCCGTTTAAATATGTTCCACTTGTTCCAGTGCCCTGTGCAGTGTTCGGGTCTGTTCCGCTGTTCTGTTTGGGTCTGCTCCAGTGCCCTGCTTGGGTCTGCTACGGTATCCTGTTCCGGTCTGCTCTGTGTAGAGGCACTGGACATTTTTTGGCTTCTGTTTGGACTTGATATGACCCGATGAGTTTGATATAACGGGTGAGATAGCTGGCGATCGCGGGTAAACAGCATACACCTGGCAGGAATGTATACAGAACTCCTATGAACTGACCAAAGGGTACTCCATAACGCCGCCCCAAAGTTGCTGTTTGCGTCTGTGGCTGGCTCGTGCACGCGACTGAGTGAGTCGCGGGGTGCGGCGGGCGTGCTCCTCGGGACTGGGGGCTACTCACGGTGTGTTTGCCGGGCCGGTGCGGGCCAGAGCTACTCACGGTGGTGTGTGTGAGTGCCGGAGAGGTCCGCCGACCTGTCGCCGCCGCCGATCCACCGCCACTGAGGTCGACCGCCCGCCGACCCACCGCCTTACGCCGCCGCCGCCGCCGCCGCCCCCGCGCTCCGCCGCGCCGCGCGCGCCCGGACCCACGCAGCCTTTCCGAAACGGCTCGGCGCTGACGACGCTTCTACGTCGTCATATCAGTGACGTAGCCGTCACATTAACGTCACATAACCGTCACGGTGCTGTAGCGTTAGCGTCACCCATCGTCACACTATCAAGTATCACTTGACAGCAGCATGGGCTGGGTGCTGGTGGGCCTTGTTCGAAACTTGAACAGCTTATGATACATCAATTTCGCACCGAGCGTAAAATTTTTGACCCCAGGGCCTCGTTTCATAAAGCGAGTCCGAAACCTACGCCTGCTTTTGGGCTTGTATTGCAAGCGCATGTAAAGCGATAAATTTATTTCCCCTTCTCCCTTATGTTCTTGCTTGCAAGATCAACAACTTCAACGATTCAAACTATCGTCATCGCTTCACATGCACTTGCAATACAAGACCGAAAACCGGCGTAAGTTACGGATTTGCTTTATGAAACGAGGCCCTGCAGATCACATAAGGCCAGGTCGTCAGGTCAAGTAAGTGACCATGCCTCTAAAAAATTGCGATTCGGTTATTCATACAGTAGGGTATGGTGGGGTAATTTGAAGATGTTTTTACGTCTTTTCCGTCGTACCATATTCCAGCTCCACCCTGGATGAAGAAAAACTGTTTAAGTAGCGCAAATGTCACTTGCTTTCACCATGCACGCCTCATATTTGGATGAGCCGAGTATACCTTGGATAGCATAGCCTCACTTTTCCACCAAATCACGGTGTGTTCAAATTGCCCCACCGTGGGGTAATTTGAACATATGTGCTGCCTTTATGTGCCATAAAACGATAATCTCGCCAGCACCGATGTTGTTTGATTTGATGCACAAACAAATAGACAGAACAATTCCAAACATACCTTCATTTGAAAAATCAAACCAACAACAAGCATAACACTTGCACAGTATCAATATCTGCACGCTGCACACCGGTCAGTTGACAGAAGTCGCCTCTCTTCAGTTAACAGAACGTCTATCATTTCCGTTAAATAAAAACTCATGTCATAAGACAAATGATATACCCAGTGGCGTAGCCAGAGATCAGCGAAAGGGGGGGGGGGCCATGTTGCTCGAGGGGGCGACTTTTTCCCTTGAGAGGGGCGCCATTGTCAGCTAGTGACAGGGGCGTCAGTCTAAATTCTAAAATGTAACGTCATGTTCATGCATGATTTATTAGGTGTTGCAAAGTACGAGTATAAGAACCAGCTTTCGCCAATTTTTCATAAAATCCAATTAATGCAATTTGCAGCCCAGTGTTTATCAAAAAACCTTGATCTTGATAAATTTTAAGCATGATATAGGAAGCGAGCTCAGGCTACAGACACTTTATTCTCAAAATACGCATCCATGCGAATTCGAAGCGGTAAAATATACGTTGACCGATAGGCACAATCTATATTCTTTGCAAAAAAATTCAGGCTTACTCGCTGATCCAAAGTGACCTGTGGGCTGCTGCCTGTGGTCGACCGGGGTGGCCGTGCTTAGAATCTCAAACCGCACGTATGTATGCTTCACGCTGCGACTCAGTGCCTAAATTGGGATCAAGGTAGACTTGAACATTTAAGACCATGAGATCCACCATGAGATCCCAACCCATTGTCATATACCAGCAGCGACTGCAGTCAGAGGCGACCGAACGCTGACATAGTTACGTTCTGTATTTTTTTCTCCACAAATCACCTTTACAATTCGATGTCTAGTGCGTGCAGCCCCTAATTGTGGACATGCATGACTGCCGCCAGCGACTGAGTGTCACTAGCTTCCAGAGGGCAAAAACTCAAAAATTGCAGTTTTGATTAAAAGCATTTTTCTGCAATAACTTTTGACTCAAGACAGTGACGACATTTATTTGGCCAGTATCGTCTTCCTCTCGTCGAAAAGCGTCGAATGAACTATTCGTTGACCTTGAAAGGTCATTTTGAAAATTTGACCTCAGGTCAAGGTCATGACCTGACTGGAAACGGTCATGCTGTATATCAGTCGATCCGTATCGTCGAACTGAACACATCTGACGTGTTTTCACCGCTCTAGCACGTCTCTATCAAAAGTTATAGCCAAAGAACTGCTGGTGACCGTTCATGACCTGAGATGACCTCAGAGGCACACAGAAGGGTCACAGGTGCATTTTTACGATTCAGTGTGTTGTGTTTACCTGTGAACCGATGTTTGAGAGGGTTTTGAACCACATTCGTTCAAAAGAGGCGCATTTCAATTTTCTCCAATTGACTTATGATGGAGAGTTTGGAAAATTGACCTGACCTTAGGTCATAGATATCACAAGTCTGAGATAAACATTTTATACATATTTTTGTTTTAATCAATCTCTGAAAGTTTGAAAAGTGATCGTTCAGTCGGTTTAGCTATAGCGAGCCTTTAAACTTTTTCTGAGGTAAGGTCACTTGACCTGACCTGACCTTGAACGACCCGGGTCTGAAATTTTCACAAGATGTGTGGAAATGATGTATGAACAGGTGTACCAAAAACGGCGGCGCTGCTCGACGCCGTTTTGGAGATATTCGTAAAAAACCTAAGGGGGGGGGGGGCGTAAGAACGCCCCCCTCCCCCAGCATGGCGCGGGTTAATGGGAGAAAATTGAAATGCTCTTCTTTTGAACGAAAACACCCTCAAACATCTGGGCACAGGTAAATATGACACATGTAATCGGAACATTTCACTCGTGATGTGACCCCTTTTATGTTACTGAGGTCATATCAGGCCATGAAAGGTCTTCAGTAGTTTTTGGACAATAACTTTTGATAGAGATATGGTAGAGCAATGAAACACCTTATATAATTATTTTCCTTCTAAACAATACGGATCGACTAATATGCAATATGACCATTCCCGGTTAGCTGATGACCTTCACCTTTGGTCAAATTCTCAAAATGCTCTTTTAACCTTCGAGGCGGTGGGGGGCATTTTTTGCCCCCCCCCCTCCCCTTTAGTTTTTTTTTTCAATATATCTCGAGAACCGCTGCGCCGATCGTCACCAAACTTTCAGTACCCTCCCGAGAGCAGCTATCGCACATGGTGACCAAAAATTTTTCCAAAGGCTATGATAGGTTGGCCGCTAATGACGTCAGAGTGACGTCATTTTTGCCATTTTCGACCCAAAAAAAGGTTTCGCGGGAAGAGCTGTCAGGCCTACAGCTTTAGAGATACAGAAAAATGTTTCAAACATAAAAGGTGTGAAATCAAAAGGGCTACAAAACTATTATTTCGGTTTTCGAATTTGTTGGATTTTGACCGCCAAAAGTAAAAAAAAAATATATTTTTTTAATATAATAGCCAAAAAATCCAAAAAGTTTTTTGAATTTCGATAAAAACCGGAATATATGTGATAGTCCCTACCGCCTTCTATCTACATGCCAAATTTGAGATCGATACTTCTTTTTTTGGCCAAATTATAGCGAAAAAACTGTTCAAAATTGATGACGTCAAATTTTCAAACTCACTTTTTAGCAATTCTAGACCTCGTAGCTCAAAACAAAGACCACCATTAGACTCCCCGTGACGACCTGCATCGAATCGATACCCTTTTTATGCAAAAATATCAACTTTGAAATTTGACTTTTTTTTACCTGACCTTGACCTGACCTCCACCAGAAAGTAACCTTAACCGTACCTGATGGTCTTAAAACCAGCACCATTGAGTTGGAAATGAAAAACTGGCCATAAAACATGCATCGCATAACCTTAGCAAAGTTGGGCTCATGTGGTGACCCTTGGTAGCCTTTGGTGACCTGACCTGTAACCTGACCTGGTATGACCAGTGACCTCTAATAGCAACATATGTACTAGACAACTGACGCCTTATCGCTGATTTTCGACAAAATGCGTTTTACTCGGTGTTATAGCGCTTTCCCTAGAAGCCCCGTGAACAGTGAAACATTTTATCTTTGACCTGACCTGTGACGTCATCGGTGACCCCGAGGTCAATGAAATTTGATTTCCCACGAGACAAATTTGACAGGGCTATCGAACGCCGTTTGAATTTTCTGGATCCGTCCAGTAGTTTCGGAGATACGGGGCGGGGGCAAAAAAATGCCCCCCCCCCCCACCGCGCGGAAGGTGGCTGGGAGGCCCACCGCCTGCCGGGTTAATGTCAAATACTAATTCATTTGATTCGTGTCGAAAATGGAACACGATGCCGTTAAACTAATCTCGCGCAGGTCTGAGTCAAAAGGTATTACAGATAACCGCGAAAACGTATATTTTGAGGCTAAAACGTTTACCTTAGGTCAAATCTGAGATAATTAATTAACCCTCGCCCGCACATGGGGGGGGGGGGGTTGGTTGCCACCCCCCCCCCCCCCCCAGGTAGTCTTTCTGCTCTGCACTCAACATTTTTAGAGCTAGAAGGCTGATTTTTCGTATAGCTGCTCATCTATCCTTTCTTGATGTCCACTGAAAATTTCAAGTTCTGCAACTTTTGGTTTCGGAGATATGACCTTGTTTTTCAGGTCATGTCATGACCCAAATGGCCAATTCTCGACATCTTGCGTTGGCTATGGGCCTTGTGAGCTTTTGACACCTTGATTTCGGCCTTTTTTACCAGTCTTACCTCCCACCTATCATGGAACATGTTGTTTGACCGTTGACGATGTTCAGATGTCAAGGTCAAGGTCAAGGTCAACCTAGGTCATCTAAGATAATTGCGTTTTAGGCAAGTGGAATTTACCTTTTGTGAAGTTTTTTGACTGCATTTTTGGTAAAAGCTTCTCAGATCATGATTTCATGTAATATGGACACATAAACAATCGGTGCACACATCAGTATACACACAGACACACACAGACATACAAACACATATATGATATAATTGACCTTGACCTAACTTGACCTGAAATGACCTCAGCAGCAAAAACCTGGTCGGGTAGTGTGACAAAGAGGTTCTAGCTGGCTTGACAC